TTAACCTGTTAATTAAATAACACACGTTAATTCAAAATTATGCATCTTTAGAGGATGTAAACCATACGTAGAAACTACAAGTGTGATTAAAAAACACAATAGGGGATACGAATCATTAGGCATCATAAGGTGGCGCAAAGTCGTTCATACAGGAACCAATATGAATAAAGGATAACCAGATATGATATGATATGACATTGACAATGGATATTTCTTCACATGGAAACCACTCACGCATTTGAATAAATTAATGTGTCAATGACTAATTTATATAGCGGTGTGAAAGGAACTAAGGTTCATGTTGAATTTTTCTAATGTATAAAATTATGACATAGTCCTTTAACCAAACTAATGTACCGCGTCACATCACCTCGGCTATCGGGAAAGAGAATTTGACAAAGTAATAATGTAAGAAATTAAATAGGGCCTGGGTGTCGTAATAATATATGTAACGGCATTAATCAGCAAACCGAGTAAAGTGAAATGAGTTTAATTCATGGGTTTAATTTATCATAAAAATATTTCTGATAAATTATCTGTATTTACTTTTACAATAATATCGTTTTAGAATTGAAATATTAAAAAATTATAATTATAAAAATTATAATAACTCTGAAATAAATTATAATTACAAAAACATCAAATTTCTGCTCAAAACGACATCATATTAAGCTTACTGTAGATAACTACTGTAGATAACTTTTATCTACAGTAACTACAAAATAAACGAACTCTTAATCTATTTTTTTAAAAACACTTATGGGTTTACTCTTTATCGACATAAATTTATCTCCAAATCATTAGAATTGATCTGGTTGTAAGAGATTGTGATAATTTATATTAAGTTATGTATTCAATTTTTATTAATATATAAAAAAAGATAAATTTATTTTCTACATACACATAAAAATGTATAAGACTCATTTTTCTTTCTTCTCCTTTTTTTTACATGGACCCACATGACTTTCATATATTTTTATGTATGTAGGAGATAAAATTTATCTCCTAAACCATAAGAAACATTGAACTCTTAATTTATAGCATATACTGGGAAGGATATGGGTATTATTAAATTTACATAATTTATAATGAATTAAAATAAAAAAATTAAATTCTAAAAAAAGCATAATTAATTTAGTATAATTTAAAATTAAAAATAAAAAAATTTAAAATTAAATATATCACTTTTTTAGTAGAAAATTAACAGAGTGATTAAGTAACTCAAAAAAATATAATCTAATTTAATATATAATAATAGATTACTAAAACCCTAAACAATTATTATGAAGTGATTTTGATTTTTTATATTATCATATAAATGTGTATTGATACATTACTAAACGAGTTTAATTTTTTTGATATTATCATAGTTGTGTTTTTTATAATTTGATAATAAATAGTTCAATTATAATATAAACAGTTTTTTAAATATATCACTTTTTTAATAGAAAATTAACAGAGTGATTAAGTAACTCAAAAAAATATAATCTAATTTAATATATAATAATAGATTACTAAAACCCTAAACAGTTATTATGAAGTGATTTTGATTTTTTATATTATCATATAAATGTGTATTGATACATTACTAAATGAGTTTAATTTTTTTAATATTATCATAGTTGCGTTTTATATAATTTGATAATAAATAGTTCAATTATAATATAAACAGTTTTTTAACTAATGCTGGACTGAAAAAATCATTAATAAAATACTTTAAGTTACCATAAAAATTCGTTAAAATTTACGAAACCCTTTATGCACAAGGACAAATTCCAAAATTTATTACGAAGCCGCAAAATTATGAGAAAAAAAGTTAAATAAAAAGGCATCATAGACTTTGTGAAAATTGAACACAACGATTTTTCATATCATAAATTCCTTTAATAATTGAATCAATGTCAGAATTTCCTGCGTACAGAAAAAAATAAAAAATAAAAAGAAGATAATCTTGCACCATGAATATCAAATCCTGTTAATCATTTTCTTTGAATTCTATAATATGTTGTATAGGCTCTCTGACCAAACAGAGATTTTCATCCCTTTTAATTTTTTTATTTGATATTTAATTTGAGAAAGGTTATACTTACAATCTATTTTTATTTACAACCTTTTACAATCATAATCTTAACCGTTGATTTCCGTCAATCAACGGTTATCATTTATTGTAAATTAATAATTAATTAATAAATTTAATTTACGAAAATAATAACCGTTGATTGACAGAAATCAACGGTTAAGATTATGGTTGTAAAAGGTTGTAAACAAAAATAGGTTGTAAGTATAATCTTCCCCATTTAATTTATGGTATTTGTCAATAAAGTCTTTTAGTGCGGCGGGGAAGTTTGAGTAGCACTGAGTACTGCGACCCCCCGACATCCACATGATTGTTCCAAGTGGCATAATCTTGTTGTCGTAGGCAGTTCTGTTACCGTAAAACTTACCATAATTTTTGACTCGGGAATCTAAATCAGATGATTTTTTTTTTTATTTCACATAACTTTTCGAGATCTACATAATGACATTTCATTTGGCATATTTTATCTCTCACAAACATAGTTTGAATTTGTATCAATGGTACCACAATCACAAGAAAAAGACAACAACAAAAAAGTGGGAACAAAAATGGAGAACCCATAGAACAGGGATAGACGATAAACATATTGGTCATGCTTGATGCCTATCTTCTATCCCTCCTATGTTCTTTCTTTCCTTATTGCTAGGGTTCTCCATTTTTGCTCCGATTTTTTCTCCGTTTTCTTTTCTTCACAAAAAGAGAGTTGGGATAGACGATAACATGCTGGTCAAGCTTGATGCCTCTGAAGCATCCCTTTGCTATGTTCCTTCTTTACCTACTAATAGGGTTCTTCATTTTTTTATTCGTTTTCTTTTCTTCACAAAAACAAAACTTATTTGAAAATCGAGGAACCTAATCAAATCAAAGGTTTCTACCTCTTCTCGGTTATTCGTCCCATTGACCTAGGTCAAGGAAAATGTATGAACCCCTGCGGTCTAGGGTTAGATTTTTGCTGAAACATGGAATCTTCATTTATGGACACTAAAGAGCGGGCCATCTCATGACTCCTTTACTATGCATAGATTCTCAAGTCCCGTAAATGTCATCCTGGTTTCACCGGTCTACGAATGACCTAATGTCTCACAGAGATTGACAAATTCCTTCAGCTTGTCACATTAGCCCTGAGTCCTTAGGGCATACCCAAGAGTATACCTACGAGTCTCCATGTTTCAGGCAGACAAGGTATACAATCAAAGCAAGTCTTCCAGAGTACAGGTCTATATGACAACGTCAGGTCTAAGGAAAGACACACCCAAAATAATAAGAGACATTACCTATTGATACTATCTGTGAGATTTTCTTGTAGTGTCTCTTTGTGGATCAATTCAGTGCGAGCTATACTTTAATAGGTCCACCCACGAGTCAGCTAAGATATCTCTATGTCTGTAGCTCACGAGGACTCTACCTTGCATCTCCATGCAAGTAGCTAAGTTATGCTAGTCTTATCCGAGATCACCAATGCCCATTATCGGTATCTCTAGACTATGAACATATTTCTGGCAATGGACGTGTGGTGTCATTGAGCCCTCATGATCGTGATCCCTATCACAAATCCTCAATGTGGCACCCGTTCCATTCCAAGGACTTGGTCTAGTTACTCATATTCAATATTTGAGACATGCAATATAAACAAGATAAAGAATATTTTTATTCATAAAATTTATTCATAACAAATAAAGAAGAAGATGGGTCCATCTGACTCTCAGATTATCTCTAAAACACCTATGTACTAACAATTCCTGAATTGGCAAATTGACCTAATTAATATTCTAGTTTTTGGTCAAATAAGTTATCTATAATAGAAAATAAAAACATGGTTGATGGTCCCCTCAATCCGTGCTCCCAGTTTATGCGTTGCATTGTTGGAATCCACAAAAGCCTTTTCTTTGAGGGTATGAATTGCACAGTCCACTTCGCTGTAAAACGACCCTTTCTTTTCATGAGCATGCCTTTGCCTAAACTTTGAGGTTCTACATATAATGGAGTCCTAAGATTCCTTCCTACAGCCACTGACGGTCATATTCTTCTATTTATATTGTAACATGTAAAAAAAGTCACCTTAGCTTTTGAGCTTTGGGCATGTGACTTATATTTTAAGAAAAATGTTAAGTGCACTTTTCTTTCTACATCCACAGCCATTCAATTCTTATATAAGAATTGATCTTAAGAAAGTGGGGTGAAAAACAAATGTGCAAATATCAATGTCCTATATCATAGTGCACTATGAATGAATATGAAATGCATAGTGACTTCTGCGCCAGTCAAGCACAAACGAATTCTTGTGTTGCTTCACAATATTTTAGCTTTCTTAAGTTCAGAGATTATTGAAAACCCTTAAAATAGATTATTACTTTTACACTTTACAACAACTCCATTTTAAAAACAAAGGGATTTATTACTCTTATGTTGCATAAAATATAATCTATCTCCTACACACACAAACTCAAAATGGGTCCCACTTTACTTTTTCTCTCTCTTCCCCTAAAAATGGACCCCACCTACACCAATGAGTGTGTAGAAGATAATACATATCTTCTACAACATAAGAAAACTATTACCCAAAAACAAATCTTATCTCACAACGTGACCAAGGCAAACTGCATTTGTTTATTTGTAGGAGTCTTATGCCGTGGCTCGGATAATTCTTTCTTTTGTTTATTACATTGAAAATATGCTAGACTGGACTATTCTCTCTTTTTGTTTTATTTATTTTTTAAGTTTGAGACTGAACTACTCTATTTGGCACAACTAGAAAAAGATTAGTCACTCTTGACTCTTCTTCCCCCCTTTGTTTCTTTTTTATATTTATTTGTTCACGGTGAATTGGTGATTGGTTTGACTCAAAAAAAAAAAAAAAAATAGACGAGCTAGAGTTTAGAGAGTGCATTCTTGTGAATGCACAGAAAGTACTAGACAAGCTTTGTTTCATCAATTAATTTTCAACAAGGAAAATAATACAGAAATTTGTTGTGCATTAATACATAAAGAAGAGTAATGCTAGTCATACATCTGAAAGTTTTACCCTAAAAACAAAGGAAAAGAACTCTTGTTCAAGAGTCATTTATCTGCGCTGAGTCAAATCAGTGACATGCTGTATCTAATTTCTTAAATGGCAAAAATGAGAAATAACAGACATAACGTAGCCGTGTCACATTGGCATGCCTTACAACATGGTGGATGCTAATGGAGATTTAACAGAGAAAGTTGTTTCATGGCTCAGGTTGCATTTTCTCACATTCTTCTCGAATTGACTGGAAAAGAACAGTAGACAAATATCTTTCACCAAAGCTGGGGAATACAACCTGCAAGAAATAAATGTTGAGAGCATTAAAATGTAAATAGAGTATTTTAATATTGAAAATTTGAAATTCTATGAAGCTTAAGTGCAAAAAAAGATAAAGATGACGAAAAACAACACAACATTTTAGCAAACCAAAAAGCGCAGGATGTGAACTGATCCTTTTTCTGGCTACATACCAAAGACCCCTCCCCCAAAAAGAGAATAAAAATACACTTTAAATTCTGATTCAGGCTAGTTGTGCCAAGTTTTCTAATCTTGCACCATCAATGAGGGTCATAGGAAACATTTACAAGAAACAAATGGAAAGAGAAAATAAACATAGCAGGGCTAAAGCATATAAATACCCAATGCAAAGCATTTCCAGTCTCTTAAGCCTAAATGCTAGAATCATATTTCTATTTATTCTTTTCCTCATTTCTTATTATCATCCAGAAATGGCAAGTTGGTGGATTTACTCTTAAGTATTGTAGAGAAATCCAGATTAAGTTTTCATTTCAGGTCCCTCACACATAAACCCACTAATTGGATGAAAATTAAGAGTCTGCTACGTCACAAGCAACTGGATACTTAAATGACATCATACACAGGTAAAGAAGAAAAATAATCTGCATACGTGACCCTCTAAACCAAAATCTAGACCTTACTTTGAAGGTCAAATTGTTAAGAAAAGAACAAAAGATGATCAGGTTGCCAGAAGGAGCCATGAGCATATCATATTCCATCCGTATGCGGCTTTTGAAAATTCAGCAAAGATGCATCCCATTAGGGGGAGTTAAATTCCACGTATAACTATTTATGTATTGATTTCATTTTATTTTATTTTTGAGGAAATATGCATACCGCAATAAGCTTTCCCGCATTCTCAGGTCTCTTTCCAACCTCCAATGCAGCTGCGGCAGCAGCTCCTGAAGAAATTCCCACCTGTTTTCCAATTGAAGTAAGCATGTAAGAGTCAAAGTATTAAGCCAACAGATATGAACTCTTCATTTAGGGTCAGAAATTGAGGTGTCTTAAGATTTGAAGAAAATTAACTGACATAAGATATATAAGTTCTTATGCCCTTCATAATACGATGTTGTAAGAATCACTCATGAACATAAGCTAACTAACAATTAATATGGCGAGTGTGCTAAATGCCATTATCTTGTGCATGATTGTTTCAAGCTAATTTGGCATGTCTCGTGTAACGGGTTAGTGCATGTTTGGGAATAGCTTAATTTTAGGAAATAATTGCTTTTGCTTCCTTTTTTCTGATTTTCAGAAGATCTTTCAGAAAAGTTTTTATTAAAAGCTTTTTTATTCCAAAATAAGCTAATCCAAACATTCACTCAGTACACAGGATATGTGCACTGGAACACATTAAGAATCTAATATCACTCAAACAGTAGAAAAAATGAACATAAAGCACTAACCAGCAAGCCTTCCTGGAGTGCTAATTGCTTTGCAGTTTCAACAGCTTCATCACTCGATATCTGCCAAATTAACAAAAGAGAGGAGAGTCAATTATAGTACATCAACATTACCTATATCCCAAACAAGTTGGAGTAGACGGTTCCATATAAAAGCAAGCACGTTTAAGGAAAAACAAATAAGAAAAAAGAAAAATAATATATATATAATTATAATAATATATATATATATATGTATATAAAAATTACAAAATAAAATAAAAAACAGAGAAAAATTCTACCTCTCTATAATGCTAATAGTTTTTCTCCACTCCGCCCTAAACAAATCACACGACAGTCTATTTCCCATTTTATTAAGTCTTATTTTTCTACTTTCCTCCAAATAAGTTTCAATTGACCACTTCCTTTCTTTATGTTATGCTCTTGGTAACAAACTTCTATTTTTATCAGAGCATTTAACTGTCTTCGAAGTACACGCTCAAGCCATCTAAATCTACGTTCTCTCATCTTTTCTTCCACTAGCATTACTCCAAATTTTCTTCAAATATCTTCATTTTTTATCTTATCCATTTTTGGATGACCACACATATCCATCTTAACATCCTAATTTCAGTTACAATTATTTTATGCTCATGTTGTTTCTATGTTGGCCAACATTAAGCTCCATATAGCATTGCAAGCCATATTGTTTATAGAAACCTTGATATCTCAATATCTCTCTATTAACTATATAGCCTTCATCGTAGATCTTCGAGGCATAAACCCAAATTATTTATAGAAGCCTTGATCTGTTTTCTTAAATGAAGCTCAATAATTGTCTCCCAAAAAAATTTCATTGTATGGCTCATAAGCTTAATATCGCTATAGTTAAAACAATTATGCATATCTCCTTTATTCTTGTAGACAGCGCAGAAGCATAATCTTTCTCCATTCATCAAGCATCTTATTAGTTTGGAGATTCTTGTTAAAATGATTAGTCAACCAACTTATAACCACTTAGCATTTCCACACTTCAATAAAGACACCTTTGAGCCCCAAATCTTTACAAATCTTCATCTTCTATAATGCATCCTTAACTTTATGTACTCCAATTTTACACGCGAACCTACTATTTAAATAATCAAAAGCATCCACTAAATCCACTTCACTTTTGTTGCTTATCCGATTAAAAACCTAGTTAAAATACCCTATCTCTTACTAAAAGATTTTGACTTTCATTCTTTATGCATCTAACCTAGGTCAATTACACTATAGACAAGAAAATATTGGCATTCACTATTAATCTTGGTCAAGTGGTCCTTATACCACATGCATAAAAAGTCCAACTGAAAGCAGCTTTAAATGTGGAATACCAGAGTTAAATTAGGAAAAGAGTAGCAACCACCAGAGTTCAGAAACAACAACCTAGTGAATGGAGAAATGATTATTATTGGCCAATATAGTGTGCCCATGCTCTTACACATAGCAAATAAGGCAAAGCAACAATAAAAACCAAATGTCAAGACCGACTATGCATAATTCATTATTGCTCATGAAAGATATTCTCTAATATGCGCAATATATAGTAGTGCACCACATTCATTGGAACTTAGACTAAAACACTTAAGAAAAAACCATGTGTGAATATCACCAAAACTTGCCACGAAACAGCTGACAAAACAGATCATTAAAATCGAGGAACAAATGAGCAGAAGACAACTAAAACGTGTGGAATAATTCAACTAACCACTACATAAAGTACGCACGAGACAATGAGAAAGAAACATATAAGATGCTAGATAACATCAATGCATTAAGACATTATTACTCATTTTAATAGTCAGACAAAATATATGGTGAAAAATCACAAATCATTTTTAACTAAGCTGGATCTAGTTCTGTAAAAAGGTACTAGAATATGAAACTTCAGGCAAATAAACCAGGCAAAATTAAACAGTAAGAATAAAAAACTTCATTTATTTGGACAAGGACTGACCCCTCTAACTCTGATCACTACATGATACAGTTCAAGCTAATGTATGCAGGTTTGGGAAATAAACAATGTTAAGTTACTGTAACTAGCTACAAGCACTAGATGGTGGCAGTGAGATATAGAAATGACATTTTCATTCACACTCAATACCGTAGGTGCAAAAAGCTATCATCTAAAAGCAAATAACTGGAGGAAGATTACAACCTTTCACCTAATTTGTTTGCAAATGAGAAAGTATTCAGTGGACAAGGATTTGTTATGGTAATTATACATGCATGTTGGCCAGAAGAAATCCATACAACGAATCAAACAGAATACTTCAAATTTCAAAATCCAACAAGCTCAAGCAATTGCCCTAGGAAATAATTTAGTCAGTAACACATTTTTTAAAAACCCAGTTTAGGAAACAGCAAAACACATTGGATTATAACAAAAAAGAAAAAGACATTAGGAAAGCATCAGAACAGACCGCTATAACTTCATCAAGCACTTCTTGATCCAAATTCCTGGGCACAAAACCAGCCCCAATACCCTGAATTTTGTGAGGTCCTGTGGTTTAGCAGGAAAAATAAGAAAGAAACAACTGCTTTAAAAATTAACATATTGAACTTAAAATGTGTAAGAACTTATTCTGTTTTCTTACCTGGCTTTCCACCTGAAAGTATGTTGCTTTCCAGAGGCTCTACACCAATAACCTGATACGTAAAGAAGAAAATGTTTAATCGAACCCAACAAAGTGGAAAGCTTCCCCCCCGCTCTCTTTCCACATACATATATTTGGGTGACAACAATTCCTTCCCATCTTTATATTGATTTATATTAAAAGAAACTTATGGTTTGGCAATGCCATTGAGAAAGATTTACCTGTATTTTTGGATTTTGTTTTTTCAGGAATCGACCAACTCCAGTAATGGTTCCGCCAGTTCCAATTCCGGCAACTAAAATATCTACCTTGCCTCTTGTGTCTTCCCATATCTCAGGGCCAGTTGTTTCGTAATGTATCTGCACAGTTGAATCCAACTTCATATATCACATCATGCTGCAGCTCACCATGCTAGAAGTAGAATTCCATTTATGACACGTCCATAATCTTGAATTTAATTAAATGCAAAGGGGATAAACAAATATTGGCTAACAATTTGAACATTTTCCCAAGCCCTTTTTCTTTTATATGGCAATTTAGAAACATATTCCTAAGGAACTAAATTTTCAAAAAATTTGGTAAACTGGATTAATTAGTTACTACTGGGAAATCAACTCTAAACTTTTATGTGTGTCACATATGTCATGCTGAAGTGTTGCTCAAAGCTCAAAGGAGAATAATGCATAAAAAGGGAGAAAGAGTACAAAGCAGGAAGATTGGGAATCCTCCTTGAGCTAGAAATGACACAACAAAAGGAAATCAGACATATATATAGAAAGAGAGAAGAGAGTACATCAGGTCAAAAGAGCAAAGCAGTTCCTTTGCATATTAGAGAAATAAACATCCTCTGAAAGACCATGAGGGGAAAACAAAGAAAGAAGCTAAGATAAAAAAGCAATCTCATCTTTTATATAAAACTCATACCATCAAATAAATAGTAAAAAGGATTATCAACAGCTTTCTTGTGTGTAAAACCAAGTGAAAAGCGTGAGTGGTTCTTCCAATTTTAAAGTGCATGTGTAAGTTATTTGAAATGGTTTATTATGAGAGATTACCAAGGTCATCATTATAACAACCTTACTTATATAAGAAGCGTTACATACTATCTAGATGTTAATAAAAAATTTCTAGTAAAATGTGCAACATACAGCAAAAGATTCACAACCATCCCCTGGTATAAAGTAACCCAAGGATGGGTTTGATGAAGTCCCCATTGCCACCAGCAAGGGTTCTAATAATGTGGGGAGCAGTTCTTACATGGACTACCACTAATGATGTGTTGCAGCTGCGTAAAACAAACAAGGCTTTATCTCTGGATTGGTGTGTGATGGGATACTACACTTCAGAAACAGCTAGACACTTAATATTACATTGTCCAGCTGTTAGATACATAAAGGCTTTGGAGCTTGTGGTAAGCTCTTCAGTATGTCTGGGGATATTCGATTATGCTCACATAGTAAGAGCTATTAGCATTTTCATATAATTAAGGTCAGGGGCTTTTGTCAGAAAATGGAGGAAAAGCTGCTATAGCAATGGGCTGTATATGCTGTCATTTGATGCCTTTGGCTGGAACGAAATGCATAGTTCTTACCAAATGGTGGTAGCTCAGTTGGTAGCAAGGAAGCTGAGTAAGTGGAAAGGAAAGCCTCGGTTCGATCACCACAGGCCACCTTTGGGAAAGGTTTAAATATCTTCATCCCTGACCTGCCCCGCATTCCGGATTAGTCACATAGCCAGTTCAAAGAGTCGAAGCTTGTGGGGATACTGAGAGGAGCCAACTCGCCTCAAAGAGCTAATTAGGGTTGGGTTAACTCCAAAAAATAAATGCATAGTTCTCTAAGTGAAATTCTTTGTCCTTAGCCTTGCTTTGACTTGACTTGACTTTTTTTTGTTTTCTTATTAACCTAGACTTTGTGACTGCTGTTTGAAGCAAGGGTTTCAACTAAAGATAAGTAAAGAAGATCAATTATCAATGCTGAGTAGAGCAATAGGCTAAACCTGGACAAATTGTACACCTGCATGAGTTTCCCAAAACATAGGATTCATGTACTTAAACATAAAATAAGCTGTTATCATTTACCTTAGGATTTGAAGGATTATCAAATTGTTGAAGCATGTATGCATTGGGTGTACTTTTTAAAATTTCTTCAGCTTTTTGAACTGCTCCATTCATACCCTTTGCTGCATCAGTTAAAACAAGCTCAGCTCCAAATGCTTTTAAAAGAACTCGTCTTTCTAAACTCATTGATGCAGGCATTGTCAAAATGAGTTTGTATCCTTTTGAAGCTGCTATAAAGGCAAGACCAATTCCTGTGTTCCCGCTAGTAGGTTCCACCAAAATACTCTGAAATGCACACAGGAAACAAGTTAACTCGGAATGATAAAAAAATTTGAAGCAACATTAAATTTATTTGGCCGCAGTTAATCTGCAAGAAAACAAATCCCAACGCAACAATTAGCTCCCATGAAGGTCATGGTGTACTTTTCCAAAAGAACCACATAATTCTCAGACATAGATGCAGCACAAAAGTAAAGGGATAAAGTCCTTCATTGCATCCCAAAGCAAAGCGTTTGACATGCCAACATGCCCATAATAAGTTGTAGTTTCTAGAACTATCAAATCAGTACATATGCCAGTACATAACAAGCCATAATGTAGCAATCTGATTTTAGAGGAGGAAGAAGAGAGATTAGGGGCAAAAGAAGAGGAATCAGGGAAGATTAGATAGTGATATGAAATCTAAAAATTAGAGAGGGACAGGGACTTGCAGGGGAAGGAGAAAATTAAGGAGAAGAAGTAGGAAAGTATTTGGGGATAGAGAGAAGATTGGGGAAAGGTGAGAGAGTGAAATTGTTTGTTAATTCATCTGATATCCCTCTTTTCCATTACCATGCTACTATATAATAAGATGTGGTTGTAATAAAATTACAATCACTCATTTTCTAACAACTTCTGAAAATTAATAAGGAAAATATAGAAGATTTTAGAGTGGTTTATAGTGTTGCTACACATAAGATCCCACAACTTATTGCCAACAAACACACACGCACACCATTTAAGCTCAGATTAGGGTATATAAGTCACACTATAAAAAAAACAACATACTCCAGCACAGGCAAGCATATTCTCTTGACAAAAGGAATGCGTATTGATGTATTTATCCTTTTCTGAGAGGATTGTTTCTGTAAAGAGAGAGGATGATTGTAGACAGATAACTCTTTTTTGTTTGAATATGTGAAAGTGATTTACAATGTACATGGTTAGTCTTATTTATTGCAAAGCAGGAAGCTGTAGTACATTAGTACCCAGGTAAAGCACCAGACTACAGATGTAATACACCATTTACAGCAATTATGTACAGCTATTATTTCTATAGTTTCCACCAAAAAAAAATTTCCCTTCAATTAAGGCCTACTAATGCATTACATGTGTGGCTCTAGAACAATCTTGCCAACAACATATTAAAAATTCCGTGTTCATAATTGTTGGGGTTCCAATTGCAAGGTATGGGACTTGGAGTCCCACATTGGTTGTATGAGCAACTAATATGGGGTTTATAAGGCATTGGGCACTCCCACCCTTTGAGCTAGCTTTTGGGGTCGTGCATCTCAAGGTCTCATCAATAATGCTCAAACCATAAAACAATTTGATATGTAAATTATAGAAAGTTTGAATGATGGAACCAGTTTTTCCATTAAAACTAAGAGAAAAAAAAACGTACAATAAATAGACACCAGAAATATTCCAGTGCAACAAATCCCTATAATCAGGGAAAGAGATAAAACTAGAAAACTGAATCCTATTTTAACTAAACAGGAAAAATATCAGAAACAAACTAATCCTAGGAATTTAAATAACAAATAACGAAACAAACTCCTAAGATTAAGGAGGAAAAATAAAACATTCTAGATGCTGAAAACTAGGGATTGCAACACTCCCCCTCAAGCTGGGTGGTAGATGTCCAGCATTCCCAGCTTGGAAATTAGTCCTTCAAATTTAATTCTTGATAAAGACTTGGTTAAGATATCAGCAATCTGGGACCCTGTGGAAATGTGACTTAGATCAATAATATTTGCATCAATTTTTTCCTTGATGAAATTTCTATCAAGTTCAACATGCTTGGTACGGTCATGATGGATTGGATTATTGACAATTCCAATGGTGGCCATGTTATCACAGAAAATCTTCATAGGATCCTTGTATTCGAGGTGTAGCTCCTTTAGGACTCTTAAAATCCACATTCCCTCACAAGTGCCTAAGGACAATGCCCTGTATTCGGCTTCAGCACTGCTTCTGGCTACCACAGACTGTTTTTTACTCCTCCAAGTGACCAAATTTCCCCACACATATGAGCAATAGCCTGTGGTTGATCTTCGATCGATAATGGATCCTGCCCAATCAGCGTCCGTGTAAATCACAATATCACGGCTGGAATTTTTCTTGAAGAACAATCCTTTACCAGGAGTCATCTTTAAGTATCGTAGGATTCTGTAGACGGCTTCCAAGTGCTCTTCATTTGGGCTGTTCATAAATTGACTGACCACACTCACAGGGAAACTAATATCAGGCCTAGTGTGGGCTAAATAAATGAGTTTTCCAACTAGTCTTTGATATCTCTCAGTGTCTACCGAAGCACATTCTTGTTTGAGTCCTATCTTGTAGTTCGCCTCCATTGGTGTATCAGAAGGTTTACATCCCAACATCCCTGTTTCATTCAGCAGATCAAGAGTATATTTTCTTTGAGAAACTGAAATTCCTTCCTTAGTTCTTGCCACTTCCATTCCAAGAAAATATCGTAATTTTCCAAGGTCCTTGACCTCAAATTTGTGAGCTAACGTCTCCTTTAATTGCTTTATCTCATCCTCCCAATTACCAGTAATCACAATATCATCAACATAGACAATTAATATTGTAATTTTCTGATGAGGTGCAGTTTTAACAAACATAGTATGATCAGTTTGACATTGGGAGTACCCTTGATTTTTGACAACTGCAGTAAACTTATCAAACCAAGCCCTTGGAGATTGCTTCAAACCATAAAGGGATTTTAATAATCTACATACCTTTCGAGATCCTTGACCATCTTCCACTCCTTGGGGAATTTCCATGTAAACCTCTTCTTCTAAGTCACCATTTAAGAATGCATTCTTCACATCCATTTGCCAAAGGGGCCAATCTAGGCAAGCAGCAATGGACAAAAGAATTTTAATTGAATTAAATTTTGCTACTGGAGCAAAGGTTTCCTGGTAATCAATGCCCTGTGTCTGAGTGAATCCTTTGGCCACAAGTCTTGCTTTATGGCGATTAATACTCCCATCTTCATTATATTTGATGGTAAAAATCCACTTACAGCCAACCACTGATTTTCCTTGTGGTAAGGTAACTATCTCCCAAGTGCCATTTTTTTTGAGTGCATGCAATTCATCCTGGATAGCAGAACACCATTCAGTAGTCTTAGATGCCTCAAAGTAGGATGTAGGAATGGTTTCCTTGTCAATGTTCTTGACTAGATGCTGCATCCTGGAGGAAAGATTAGCATAGGATATAAAATTACAGATGGAATGACTTGTACATGTCCTTACCCCCTTACGAAGTGCAATTGGCATGTGCAGAGCATCATCAGAACTTGGCAGCAAGGATTCAGTTTGGTCAAGTGCAGGACTAATGGTTTCTTCAGTTGGACCAGGAGCCAAGGTAATCTGTTTGTCAACATGTTCAAGCATCTCAGAAGCTGTTCTGTATTTGGGCCGTCGCGTGTAGACTTGCAGGGGCTGCTGTTCAGGCGGTTTCTGGAGCGGGCCGGAAGAGGATAAGCCATTAGATGAAGTGTCATTTTCCTGAGATTCACCTAAGACCGGTGTAGGGGCTGTTGAAGCAGAATTTTCTGGAGTATTAGTCACAAACAACCATTCCTTGGAATTAGGGATCTCCCCCTGAATGGCGGTTTGGGAAAAATAAGGCTGATGTTCAAAAAAGGTGACATCTTTAGTAATGTAGAATCGATGTGTGGCTGGACTGAAGCATTTATACCCCTTCTGAGTAGGGGAATAGCCAAGAAAGATGCCCTTAAGAGCCCGAGGATCCAATTTACCACCTTGAGAGTTATGAATGAACACGGTGCAACCAAAAATTTTTGGTGGGAGATTTGGGGTTAAGGTCAATGAAGGGAATGCAGTGAGGAGTGTTTGGTAAGGTGAGGAGAAGTGTAATACCCGAGATGGCATGCGGTTGATAAGGTAAGTGGCTGTAAGAATAGCTTCCCCCCAATAATTTTTGGATGTATTTGAGGCAAAGAGTAGGCTACGAGCAACTTCAAGTAAATGGCGATTTTTTCTCTCAGATACACCGTTTTGTTGTGGGGTATTGACACAAGAGCTCTGGTGGATGATGCCATGGTCTTTTAGGTAAGCTGAAAGGTCCAAGTTAAAATAATCACGTGCATTGTCAGATCTAAGGGTAAGGATTTGGGTTTGAAATTGGGCAAGGATCATTTTGTGAAAGACTTTAAAGGTGGATGTGACTTCAGATTTATTGGCTAATAGGTACACCCATGTCATTCGAGTATGATCATCAATAAATGTGACAAACCAACGAGCACCCGTAAGGCTTTTAACAGTTGCAGGTCCCCACACATCACTGTGGATAATGGCAAATGGTTTAGAAGGAACATGCATTTGTAAGGGATAATGAGACCGAGTTTGTTTTGCAAGTTGACATATATCACATGAAGGAAAATTCGAATTCTCATTAAATAAAGAAGGGTACATCTTTTTCATATATTGAAAGTTTGGATGCCCTAATCTAAAATGCCATAAAAGAGCCTTATTCAAATTGCTAGTTGCTGCAAATGTGCTGTCTTGAGTCTTCATAACCGCGGCTGTGTAAAGTTGATATAAACCATTAGAGACCCTAGCACTGCCAATCGTCCTCCCCGATGCCAAATCCTGAAAAATACAATCAACGTGGGTAAATTTGACTGTGCACTTTAAATCCTTGGTCAATTTGGTAATAGAAATTAAATTGCAGGTAAGAGATGGAACGTAGAGAACTCCAGTTAAAGATATGGTTGACGATAGGTGAACAACACCAATTCCGTGAACCTTGGCTAAGCCTCCATTTGCTGTTTTTACTGATTTTGCCTTGAAAATGGGAAAGTATTCAGAAAGAAGAGAGGAATTACCAGTCATATGATCTGTAGCCCCAGAATCTACCATCCAGGAATCACATTTATCAAGATCGGATTGGAGAGCTGTATGGAATGTACCTGATTGATGACTATCAGATGAGGGATTAGATTTGTCCTTATTGCAATCTTGCAGCATGCGTTGTATGGCTATCACTTGTTCCCTTGTAAATGTATGGCCTTCGGATTTTGCTTGCGGAACATCTTCTACAACTGCAGCAACATGATTAAAGTCTCTGTTTTGTCTTGGCTTCCAATCAGCTGGCTTGCCATGGATTTTCCAGCATGTATCCCGAATATGCCCAGTTCTGTTGCAATGGTCACACCAGAGCTTACCATTTCGCCTAGGTCTGGAGTCTGCATTGTTGGGTCTAGAGACAAAGGCTGCTGCTTCCAAAGGTGCATCAACTTTTGGGATGCTATTGGTCAAAACTTTGCGGCTTTCTTCCCACTTTAATTCAGAAAAAACTTCTCGCAAGGATGGCAGAGGGCGAGTGGCCATGATGCGGCTGCGAGCTCCATCATAGATTGGATTGAGTCCCAAAAGAAGGTTGTAGGTGCGGTCTTGTTCAACAATTTTCTTATACTGAAGAGTATCGGCTGGAGTAGTCCATTCATGTTGATCATAAAGATCCAATTGTTGCCAGAATTTTAGGAGTGAATTATAATAGCTGGTGACATCCTTGTCCTCCTGTTTGAGATCACGAAGAATCCCCTTAATGTGAAACAAGGCAGCTGTGTTATCTTCCTTAGAGAAGGCTTCCTTCACGCCATCCCAAATTTCCTTGGCTGTGGAGCACAACATGTATGTTTCAGCTATTTCAGGCACCATGGAATTCAGCAACCAAGACATCACAAGGTTATTTTCAATGGACCACTTCTTGTATTGTGGATGACTAGTTTCCAGAGGAGCAGCATCACCCGTACCGGTGAGATGATCTCCCTTGCCACGGCCTCCAATGAACATACGAACGCTGCGTGACCACAACAAATAATTGTCTCCATTGAATCGATGACCAGTGATGACTAATGCTGGACTATCGTTGGTAATGACAGCTGCTGAGTTGTTGTTGGTTTGGTTTGATGCTGAAACATTGAGTGGGGTTGTTGTTGGAGTGGTATTTGTACCGGTGGTATTGGAAGAAGTAGTTTGGTAGGCTCTCATGGTGCCAAAGAGTGGCACATTGGTAGCCATGGGTGGATCAGTCCCTTAAAAATCAAGCTTTGATACCATATAGAAAGTTTGAATGATGGAACCAGTTTTTCCATTAAAACTAAAAGAAAAAAAAACGTACAATAAATAGACACCAGAAATATTCCAGTGCAACAAATCCCTATAATCAGGGAAAGAGATAAAACTAGAAAACTGAATCCTATTTTAACTAAACAGGAAAAATATCAGAAACAAACTAATCCTAGGAATTTAAATAACAAATAACGAAACAAACTCCTAAGATTAAGGAGGAAAAATAAAACATTCTAGATGCTGAAAACTAGGGATTGCAACATAAATGACAAACACCAAACATGGAGAGGATCAGTTGTTAGGGTGGACCGTATTAGCCATGGTGGACAAGTGTAAAGAAATATAAGGAAATTATGTTACACATACAATGACATCCATAAATGAACACAGTGGCGGAGCTAGGGAGAAGATCCAGCCAGTGCCAAAAGATTCAATTAGTAAAATCTAGCTAGTACCAATGTTGTATTATTTTTAAAAACCTAACCGATATTAAGACTATATCATAATTTTTTTTAAAAATATATAGCATTTTTGAAAATTAGCCGGTGCCAAGGCACCACCTAAGAGCCAAGTGGCTCTGCCACTGAATGAACATATATCCTTTCTATAATGTTTCACCTTCCCAGGCGTTATAACTCCTCTCTGCTCAGCATCAAGTATCATACTATAACCTATCCTGCAAGACAAAAAATCAGAAGCATTAAAACAAATATATTAGAGATGGACTGAACCTCAAATATGCAAATTCATGTGGCCATATAAATTATTCAGGCTCATAGAAATACCATAATCAGTTTGGGATAAAGGTGTTGTTGATGTTGATGTTGATAGAAATACCATCATCAGCCTCATATATGATTTTCAGGTTTTCTTATACACCTCACATTTAACTGAAATTATCACCTAACGGTAAGTACGTAACTAAGTGCTTTTACTTGTGTCATCATATAAAGAGTTAGACTTACCACCATATTAATATGTAATGCTTATTGCAAAGCAATTCTCATCAATGTAACAAATAATGACAGAAACAATAAAACCCGGCAAAGAGACAATAGCAAAAATCAGAACAACTGATTTTGTCATTCGAAACTTTATATTTACGCCTTTCACTAAGACTGCAGACCATGAAAAAACAACAAAACAAAACAAAATGCAACTCACAAGTTTAACAAGCAACAATTCATGTTCTCACCTGTCCTTGACACTACAACATGGCTCCATTATTTCAAGCTTTGCAGCAATATTGGCCACAGAGCCCTTCACGATACTATTCAGGTAAACCATTGGTGTTTTTCCTATGAGCTGCGCCACATCAGCAGCAAAAGAACCGAACAAATCAATATTTATTATCGAATGCTGATTTCTCATGCATAAGCAAGAATCAGATGAAATCACAAAAAGAAGAGATTTTTCCACCAACACATTGATGGGCACATTGGAATTATTCAAAAAATAAAAAACACTGAGATAGATTCCATGATTGAGTATTTGGGGTTGAAGGCATCAAAATTGTAAATAATATTGTGAAACTGACCTGGGTAACATCTTCAGCAATGTTGAGACCCTCAATTTCGGTTTGGGGCTTAACAGAGACAGCTTTGCAGACAACTGGGGAAGTTGAAGAGACCCTCGTCGTGAGTGGTCTCAGACACTGGTCGTTCCCTAATCTCAGTGATGTGGTGGTGGTGATGGTTGTGCGAGTTAAACAGTAACGAATGGAAGCACGCGAAGAACAAGTCAACGAGTTGATTAAGGAAGCAGAAGCCATCATTGTTGGTTGGGAAACCTCAGACGACAACCTTAAGAACTCAAATACGATGATGATGCTTGTTGAGTTGAGTTGAGACTAAACCTGATTCGTTCAATCCGAAGTCACAACTCACAGCACGCACTCACATACACACACTATCCCTTTTATATTTCCTCCTTGAATTGTGGAGTAAATAGGCAACGAGAAAAGCATCTATTAAGAGCAAAGGGGCAATTGTCAATACTCAACAATTCTACTTGTTGATATTTTTATTTTATTTTACTTTTCAAAATAAGTTTTTACATTAGAAAAAGCTTTTCTTCTACCGTCTTGCATGAAATAATACATCTCATGCCAGTGGGGCCATCACTCGTTACAAAACAAAATAGCACAAATTTTAATAAGTTTTAATATTTGTAAAATGAATGTAGAAAAGTTATTTATATTCGCTTTTAAAATGACGTTGTTTTGAGTTGAAAAATTAAAATATTATAATAAAAAAACTATTATAACCCTGAAATAAATTATAATTACAAAAATATCTTAATTTCCGTTTCAAAACAACATCGTTTTGGACTTAATGTAGATAAATTATTTATATTAATTAAAAAAAGCGAACGCATTTTAATATCATACAACATAAAAAAGCTAACTCATATTACATAAAAAAAATGATTTCCTTTCAAAAAAAAATGCCACAAATACACATGAGTGCATTCATGCTCTCTTTCCAATTTTACAAGCACGATCACGAGGTCAAGTTGTAAGCTGGCTTATGAGATGAAAAAAAAGTCTTTTTTTTTTTATTATTATCTTCATTGTCCATAACTTTACAGTTATATACAATTCCCTTATTAATAGGATATTACATATTTGTCTTTCTTGGACTGCTACACAGGTTAATTTTTGATTTAGAGAATCGAAATATTTATATCACTGTCAAATAAGTTAAAAAGCACCAAAAATATCAAATCAATAGAAGTGTCCAGGTTCATCGAACAATTTGTTGTGCACCTGTCTATATAATGGGGACCATGAAACAAAAACATAAGGACTTACGCAAGGGAAGAGCTTAGCAAGAAATTGATATGGGAATATATGGTAATAAAAGACAGAATATTTTTTTAATAAGAAGAAATATTAGTTGTTTCAGAATATTACTAGTTTAGGAATTTTAAAAAAAAATAATATTAGTTTGTTTTGCAAAACAATTTGATAACAAAACATAAGTACAGCCTCTTTTATTACTTGGACCATATTTACAATTTATTTGCATACTAGAAAAAATAAAAAATTGGAAGGTGTAAATTCTTCGGATCTAGAAATATTTTGTGATGAACGTACTGGAAAATCTTCTTTGGATTTACCCAAAATCTTTGGAATTCATTTATTTCTTGCGTGGTTTGTATATAGAGTTTGTTTTTTCTATAGTTATTGCATATAAGTTATCTGCAGTAAGTCCAATACGACGTCGTTTTGGGACGGGCATCATGGTATTTTTGTAATTTTAATTTATTTCAGGATTATTATAGTATTTATAATTATAATTTTTTAATATTTCAATCTCAAAACAACGTCATTTTAGAAATAAATGCAGATAATCTATCTGCATTAGCTGCAGAAATATTTTTCTGTTTTATATATCATAAGAAAAATGCTGATTATATATCACTTTTATTTTCATATATCTCAGGATTGTTGGTCATTAGTGTACTTTCTGAATTTTTAAGTTATAATTTGAAATGAAATGAATTTGGTTGTTATTTATATATATAAAAAAAAGAAATAAATATTTTTTGTTCGTTTTAAATTTGCCGCGGACCTATTCTTTCACTATTTAATGACAGGTTTAGTGATAAGAATGTTTCATTTTCTTATCTTAAGTATTCATCATAGGATTAGTTTAGTTGCGAGAGATGTAGGTAGTTATGTAATAAGTTTTACATTCAATTCCTGTGTATCCAAAAAAAAAAAAAAAAAATCATCATAAAGTTAGTTAATAATTAACTATAGAATTATTTACTCATTATTTTGATATAGAATCATTTTATCGTTAATTAAAGATGGATCAATTTTTTTAGTAGTTAAAAATGAATCAATTTATTAAATGATAATAGCTTAGTTGGTGTTGGGAAATTGAGGGTAAGAATATGTGTTCAATTCTCTCCAATATCATCTTTGAAAGGAATTTAAAACTTTAATCTCGAGATTCTTTTCAAATTAAATTAGTCGCAAAATAATGAACCTGTTGAGATATCTAAAAAAAATAGATCAATTTTATCGTTTATTAGTGACGGACTAAACAATTACATATATATATATATATATATATATATATATATATATATATATATATATGAACTTTTTTAAAAATTGAATAGACCGAAACATTTAGCAACTGATTATTTATATATATATGAACTTTTTTAAACATTGAATAGACTGAAACATTTAGCAACTGATTATTTATATTAGCGAAAAAATTATTTCAGTCGCAATTTGCAAAAAAGTGGATTTTTCATTAATAATAAAGGTTTTAATACTTTTTATGTTATTGTAGATGAGAAATTTTGCAACAACACATAGAAAGTCAAATCTGCAAGTGGATCTTAACTTCTTCTTCTTTTTAAATGTCAGAATCCGTATGTGAATCCTAATGTAAATATGTTTGGGGATAGGTTATTGTGCCTACTCCCTATTTACCTACCTTTACCTACTCCTCTCATCATCGTTGGATCATAATTTGATCAAACGGTTCATATTGAAAACATAAATAAAATCTTTTTACTCTTTTCACTCTTTCTCAGACTCCACCCTACTCTCTCCTCCCCTGCTACGAAGAAGACGTAACCTTCCTTCTTGAATATAATTTTTCATCTTTCAAATCTCAATTTCGCTAATTACCTCAATTCATTGTAATTTTATCTCTCTCTCTCTCTATTTTGTTATTTTATTTACAATTTTCATGTTTTTTAAGGGAATTCCCCGATTGTTTCACCTATAGGTTCAGTTTCTCGAGAAATTAAAAGCGTAAATCGTTGAGGCGTAAGGTAAGATCGTTTCACAATTTTCATGTTATTTTATTTGCATGACTGGTACAAGCGTTTCTGCTCAATATCTTGGTTTATCTATCAGCCTCGGTTCATAACTTCAGATTAACATTAGGCATTTGGATGAGAGTGGAGTTTACAATGGCCATTTCTCCACTTTCGCCTTTTGTGGTTACATTCGTGCACAGGTCTCTCTATATCATATTTCACTATTGTTTCTAATTTATTTTGGAATTTCATTATTGTTTGCGTTACTTGATTTGTGCCTTACCGGTAGTTATATGAAAATTTCTGAAGTAATTACTTTGCCCTTTTTTATGTACCTGTTGATTTAGGCCAGTTAATTATGCTTGTAGCTTTGTATTCCCCTATTTGTTTGATTCTGCGGTTGATAAACTATATATTAAATTAAAGGGTTTTATAATTCTGAATAGAAATTTTCTTACACACCCTCATATATTGATAAATGTTCCTTGTGGACATTGTTGGTGGGAATGATCCTCCTATTTCAAATTACCCTCCAGTAGAGATTGAGAAAGATGGAATCAATAGAACCAGTAAATGCAGTAGTTCAAGCTGCTCCAGTAGTGAATCTGGAACCTCATCCAGTGGTTCGTGTTTCTTCATACTTTTGACATGTTTCTTGTTTCAGGATGTTTTAAGTCTCTTCGGATTGCACATGTATACCCAGAATTTGCTCTTCAGTCTTATTTGTTCTAAACGGGTACCCCTGCATTGTCATACAATCCAAATTTCTGTAAAAAAATTTAAGTCCTTAAACTATTTTACGTGCTTGGTTTTAAGTCCTTAAACTATTTTACATAGCAGCTTCTTACGAAAGATATTCCAGTGTCAATTTCGTTCTCCCTTTTTATCTGTTGCTTCCCCTCCCTTACCCCTCCCTTCCACATTCTCAATCTCTATTTTATTTTAACACATTTACTTATCCTTGTTAGATGATAAAATTGCAAGTGGAGATGGCACCGACGAAAGTCAATTGAGCTCAAAGTTAGTAAGACCTATAGCTACTGCTTCAAGCTACTTCTATTCTTTTTCATTTCCTCCCTTTTGTCAAGAGACGTAGATCAACAAAGCTGGTTGGCTATCATTAATATCAAAAGATTATGTTCTTTGGTCATAAACCAACCCTTTTCGTAGTGGTTATCTATTTTTTAAATTGTATATTGGATGTTTTAATTACAAAAATGACATGCCATATCCCACAACATGCTATAAGCATATATACATTTTTGCAACTCAATGTTGTCTTGTTCGAGTTAAAGGTTTAACTTTTTTCTGCCAGGAAGACTTATTTCAAACTATATATTAAATTAAAGGTTGCATAAAACACTGTTGATTGTCATTACATGGTCTTTCAATTAAATTTTGAATTAGCATCAAACTAAATTGGTTGACTGTGTTTATTATCTATCTACATGCTTTTTTCTTCTCGGTTTTTTTTATACTTCTTTTGGTTGGTTTGGGATTTGGGTGATCATATAGTTTCTTCTTTGTTTTTGTATTTCATGTCATTCTAAATGCCTTATATTTCTTTCTTTAATTTTGTAACGAAGCAGAGATGACTAACATGATTACAACTCTTGAGTAGATCAGGTTTTCTGCTAGTAGACATGGGCCCTCGACAATAACCCACCGCACTGCAAACCCCATCTCTGCCCATGGCTATGCATGTAAACGTGTCTGTTTCTGTCAGGAGTGATATGTACTGGCCCATCCTCTTCAGGGAACCATTTCTGATATACAATCAACTGAATGCCCAACAACTAGTGAACCACAGAACTAGCAGGACAGATTGGTACTTCAATATGAAAGCTTGGAAAATGGTGGAGCAGTTTTTCATTGTTGCAAAAGCTGATTATATGTAAATTTTCAATACATGATGAGAGAGCTCTAAGACTGTTGTTCTTCTTCCACTTGTAATATTCCTTTAGTTCAATGTATCTTATCTTAGTTGTAATCATACTAGGATGTAACAGAGCAATTGCCATATGTATCTCAGTTGTAATCATATCAGGATTGTAATTTCCCAATTGTAATATCAATAAAATTGATTATTTTCTTTCAACAATTGTATTTTTCCCATATATGACTTGATTGACCTCTATCAATAAAACATGGTATATGTTGCCATTTGAGTATTGACATTCATAAACTCTTTAACATGACAGTAACAGAAACTATGAGAAGAATTAATCAAGTATGAGTCGGCTATATCATTTTTAACTATCCCTTTTATCGGATTATAATATAATTAAGTACAGTAGTGGGGCTAGCTTGCTGATTTTTAATTCAGAGTACCTGGTCATTGAACACAAAAATCAGAAGGGCGAAAATCTCAGTACACAATGAGAATGAACTAGATAAAACAAACAAATGGATTCTTTATGCAGTAACCATCTATTAGTAGCTATAACCGCATAGTCTATAACCATCACATTCACTTCAAACCATTATAATTTATCTACAAGTATGTAATGAACTTCTTGGACTTTATTAAAAAAACAAAACTACAATCATAATTGAATTCAGAAACAATTTAAATATAAATAAAATCTGAATCCACAAAAAAAATCTATAATGAATGCATATTTATTTCTTTACAGGTGCGCTTATTATGTCCTCGTTTCTTGCAATTTCCACAAATACTGGATTGCTTTGATGCTTCTTCAATCCCGCTACGGATCCTTTTCCGGCCTTTCGTCTGGGAAATGTTAGGATCTTTCAAGTTTATCATAGAAGAATCTTCTTGTTGAGAATTCAAGCATTGAACATTAGTATCCCTACCATTACTCTCCTCATATGCTGAAAACTTTTCAGCAGATGCAGCAAGAGAATCAAGACCATCATAAATAAATTGAAATGCTTCATCTGACCTCTGTGCAAGCTCAATAAGTCTATTACATTTAGAGCTTAGGTGAAGGCTATGAACCAATCCATCTCTATTAAGCAAACACATTTCTCTCTCTTTACTTAACACATCATTTCCTTCCTTGCGCCAACGTCGCAAAATGAAGTGTTCTGGTATCTGCTCAACATTTTCAACAAAAAAAACAGCAAGAACATGCCGACATAGTATTCCCATGAACTCAAAATGAAGACATGAACACCTAGCTTCTCTACTTTCCAACTTAATCTCAACTATTGCTGAATCTTTTGTGTCTCTTCTATTAAAAACTCGATATGAAACCCATTCACCATCAGTCGTAAGTTTGTCCTTGGAGAAACTTAGGATATGAGAGAGCTCAGTAACAAACTTTACATAAATTGCACGTGTATACACTTTTGCTGCATGCTCCTCCAATAGCATATTGAATTGCAAGCGTCTTTCTTTGTGCATGGACTCAAAATTTGCCTTTTTCAATGACTCATATCGAGCATCTACTGCTTGGTTGTATTTCTCCACAAATTCATTCAATGTAGTGCCAGATGTAACAAAATCATCAAAGAATGCATTGATGCTTTCGCTGCGCTGAGTAGTGTGCATACCGGCAAAAAAAGTGGAACGGTTAAATATTGGTATCCAAGATGATCTAATTGAATAAAGTGAATGCATCCACTCATTCCCAATAAGACGATACTCAACAATAAGACGATGCCATTTGTCTTCAAATTCTTGAATACTGTTGGACTTATAGATACAATCATTGAATTCCTTCTTGAAAGACCCATGGTCTCGGTACACATGTGACAACTTCTCTGGAAACTTTCTCATAATATGCCACATACAAAATCGATGTTTGGAATTTGGAAAAACTTTGGATACTGCATTGGTAATTGCCTTGTCCTGCAAGTTCAACTACATGTGTAAGTATAAAATTACTAATATATGAAACAATTGAAAATATGGAATTAAATTAATTATACCTGGTCAGTAATTATTGCGCCTAGATGTTTTCCATTCATTGCTCGTAGCCATTCCTCAAATAGCCACACAAAAGTATCTTCAGTTTCATCTTTTAATAGAGCACAACCAAACAAGATTGACTGCAAATGGTTATTCACACCGACAAAGGGTCCAAAAGGCAATGCATATTTGTTAGTCCTATATGTCGTGTCAAAAGTGATGACATCTCCAAAAAGCTCATATGAGTGTCTGGACCTCGCATCAATCCAAAAAAAACTTTTCATACGATCCTCATCGTCATACTTAATAGAATAAAAGAAATTTGGATTCATTGATTGTTGTTTATTACAATAACGTACCACGGCTTGTGCATCCCCAACGTCATAGATTTTCCTTCTTACATTTTTCATATGATTATAACAATCTCGACTGTCAAACAATAAATCAGGGCCTCTAAGGATGGTGGCCACCTTTCCAATGGGCAAGCCCGAGTCATTGAATTTTTCAACTAATGATCTAGCAACACCAGGCATTTGCCTATATGATCTTATATATGGAACACTCTTCGGAGTAACCAAACCATGATTATGGTTGTCGTCAAAATATTTAATTTTCCACGTTTGTGTCTCCATTCATAGAAGCCTTGAGACAAGCTTTACACCCTATTCGTGATGATGATGTATTCCTTGATTTGGTTTCACATACTTCACCAACATTGTTTGTCTTCGATATTGGATAACCCTCTCTAGCACATGTTAGCTTCATGTAATTCTTCTTGGTTTGTCGTGCTCGAATTCCAAAACCTTTTGTCATACCAAATGCTTTGTACCAGTCTATTACATCTTTCCTTTCAGAAAATTCCATTCCAACCTCAATTGAAACATCAATATTCTTTGTCGGTGTCGACGGAAGGACATTTGACATACTATTAATTAAGTCATTTTGAATGTCCTCTTCCATTTCATGAGGCATGTCATATTCAATCTCATCACTAAAGTCAATGTAATCTGTTGGATCATCGTCAATATCTCTAAGTTGTGTAAAATTGCTCCCTGTATCATCCATCTGGCCTCCTATATTTTTAGGGTTCATGATCGAATTCTACAATAGTTGGAGGAATATCTGTTCTCACAAATAACACAGAATATCATGAAAGACTGAGTTGTCTATTAATAACAATGAAATAGTAGTGTAAAGATTAATTAAAAAAATATGGAGATAATGCTACTCAATTCTTTTAAAATATCCAACCTCTCTAGAGTAGCTTTGTGGTGAGTCCATTTGAATCACACCTCAGATTTGAAACACCTACTCAAGTGGCACGTTTTTATGTAAAAAAATCAAGCAATTTTTTTTAAAAAAATCCAAAGCAAAACCACAATCCAAACAAAAAAGAGATTTGAGCAATGCTATTACCTTTCCTGCAAATGTTTTAGAGAGAGAGATAAAGAATTACAATGAATCAGGGAAAAAAGAGAGGTGATTAGCGAAATTGAGAATTGAAAGAGGAAAAATTATACTAACAATTCGACAATATACTAAACTCTTAATTCCATTAGTCGATGACATTTAATCAACAATATATATGTCCACGAATGTAACCACAGAGGGCGAAAGTGGAGAAATGGCCATTGTAAACTCCACTCTCATCCAAATGCCCAATGTTAATCTGAACCGAGGCTGATAGATAAACTTTGATGATTTGGGAGTAAACTTTTGATAGATTAACATTGCCAAAAACCCGAGAACCAAGATATTGAGCAAAAACGCTTGTACCAATCATGCAAATAAAATAACATGAAAATTGTGAAACGATCTTACCTTACGCCTCAACGATTTACGCTTTTAATTTCTCGAGAAACTGAACCTATAGGTGAAACAATCGGGGAATTCCCTTAAAAAACATGAAAATTGTAAATAAAATAACAAAATAGAGAGAGAGAGATAAAAAAATTACAATGAATTGAGGTAATTAGCGAAATTGAGATTTGAAAGATGAAAAATTATATTCAAGAAGGAAGGATACGTCTTCTTCGTAGCAGGGGAGGAGAGAGTAGGGTGGAGTCTGAGAAAGAGTGAAAAGAGTAAAAAGATTTTATTTATGTTTTCAATATGAACCGTTAGATCAAATTATAATCCAACGGTGACGAGAGGGGTAGGTAAAGGTAGGTAAATAGGGAATAGGCACAATAACCTATCCCATATGTTTGTTGCAAAAAATTTCATCTATTACTGTTACAGAAGTGGCGAACCCAATAATAAATTAATGATCCACTTTTTCTGATAACTTTGTTTAAATGAAATCATTCACATTTTGCAAAGAAAAAGTCAGTAATTAATAAAAAAAATTAGTAGTTAAGGAAACTTAATTTGTAACAATAATTCATTTCCTATTTAATTTTTTTGGTACATATTAATTTCCTATTTTAAATGATTGGAAACCTAATTTTTAATAGTAATGTACTTTTTATTTTTAAATTGATAAGGTCTTGATATGTAGTGACCATTATGAATCAAGGTTGTTTACTTAGAACAAATTAACGTTAATATATAAAGAGTTTATTGTCTCTTATGTAGGAGATAAATTTATCTCCTATACAAATATAAAAGTATGTAGAATTTATATTTTCTCTTTCTCTCTTCACTTGGGTCCATGTGAGTCCCACATACATTTATGTATTTGTAGAAGATAAATTTATCTTCTATAATATAAAAAACATTTAACCCATAAACAAATTATCAAGCATCATTTAATACTTAATGGTTAGTTACTCTCCATGTAAAACCAAAACAAATATTCATATTTTTTTCTTTTTGGTTGTTCTTGAACTAAAAACAAGCACGTTACAACTATATCTTACATATATTGTACGTGAAAGTGTAGTGAAATATATCATGAAGTAAATTCATTCTCTTTTACCTAACATTGCTAACCTAGGATTGAAGTTTAACACTAATATTATTTTCGTTTGGTACGTGAACAAATACTATTTTCAATATTGTCCTGCAAAAGTGACCATGACATTCTTATTTTTTTTCATGTTTGATACAAAGATTAAAAAAAATTTCCGAAAAAATCAGATTCCCGAAATTTCATTGTGAAGACAAATTGTAAAGGAAATTTCCCGGTGGTATTTTTAGATTCCCATTCGGTGGGAATATTTTCAATATTTTTTGGACCAAATTACCCCCATCTCTCTATTTCTTCGTTCTTCTTCTTCGTTGAGGTGTAAAGTTGAGATTTTTGCAAGCTTGAACAGAGGAACAGTCGAAGGAGTGGCCTGAGGAAACCATCACGGGGTCTTCCATGAGAAAACCTAAAATGGGGCAGAGGAACTCTTAAGAGAGTTTTTGGGTTTTGCTGGGTTTTGAAGATGGTGGTGATGACCTTTGGTGGTGGAAGAAGATCTTCTTCCATCTCAGTCTTCCATTTCTTTGTTCATTGGTTCTGAAAATTTCGCCTCATCCGTTAAGTGCACGTAAAGTTTTTTCAGCTTATCGTTCGATGGTGGTAGAGGGAGGTGGACGGTCAGTGCGGAGGAAAACGGTGGCTGGAGTGATGGTTGGATCACTGATAAATCGATGAAGGTGAGATTATTTTTGTAAATTTACCTCACATTTCGATCAATATTTTACAATCAACCAAATATATCACCAGAAAAATTGACCAAATATTTCGTGAATATTTTGGCCTACCAAACAACTTTTGGGTAACATTTCCAGGAAACTCATTTTCTCATCATATTCCCGGAAATCATGATTCCCGAATAAAAAAAAAATTCTCCCGTAAGAATATAAACACGTCATTTTGGAGATGGAAAGCATAGGCACCACTGCAGAAATAATACTCCCTAAATTTTTACCTCTTAAGCGCGCGCTCCCTCTCTCACCTTTTATTTTTTCCTTTTTGACGCAAAATGACCATACAGTTACTACTAATATGAGCACACTCTATACACTAGCAAAAAAGGAGCGAACAAAAGTTTTGGTACTACATGCACAACAAAAACGCCAAGGGTAAAAAACCCTAAACCATCATAGAGTTTCTCCTTGTTTTTTCCTTAAAGCTTTTCCTGATTTCAAGTAATAAGCAAATTATTGTACTTCATCACTGGTGGTGGTAGTGGTAACGATGGTGGTGGTTGTTGGTGGAGGTGGTGACGGTGGCATGGTGGTGGTGATGGTGGTGATGACGGCACTGGTGGTAGCAACGACGGTGGCAATGATGGTGGCGGTGGTCGTGTCGAGATGATTGTGGTGGCGGTGATGATGGTAATGGCAGAGAGTGATTGAGAGAGACAAGTGTTTCTCATTTTGTACCCGGAAACAAAAAAACAAAAAAAAAGTATTCTTTTTTATGTTCCCATCACAAAAATTAAACCGGTTCATCCCGGAACAAAAAAATAAATCGATTTTACCAAATGAGTTTTCTATTCATTTATGTTCCCGGGATCAGAAATTAAAAAAAAAAAATTGATTAGAGAAAGGTTGTCATACACACCCTTAGTGACTCCAAAAATCTGCAAAAATAAATCTCTTGGAAGAGATTTAAGGGGCATCTGTCTTTGTTTCTCAATCTCTTCCCACTTTGCAGAAAATGAAGAATCAGCCATTGAAAAAAGGTTCAGAAAAAAAAAATATCAAAAGGTTTCATAAAATAATCAGGATTAAGAGACTAATATGTAGTTTACAAAAAAATAAATTTCTTGATACATATACATTAAAAGAAGTCGGTTGAAACGTAGACCCATGAATAATAAAAAATTAATGAGAGACATAGTTTTACAATGCAAAATGTGTCTCTTCATTTTTTTTAGTTGAAGATGATTTACCATAATTGTATTTTATTAAACTTTTTTTTTTGTAATCAAACACAGGAATAAATATTTCAAAATTTCAAGTAATAAACAAATTATTGTACATTAATTATTGCAAAAAATTAACTTCAGAATACAAAGAAGAAAAACAAACACAAAAAAATTAGATTATATTAAATATCGTAACGTTAAATAATTAATGTTTAACCTCATGTTAAACATTAGACAATCATCCGCAATTCTTCAATCAAACGTCAAATAAATATTAAGACATTATATATTCTTTAAATGTCTAATAATTCTCAAATATATAGTTCAACAACACACAGAACAAGGTTTTAGAACAATGTTTAATAATTCTTCAGAACAATTGTTGGGGTCACTATATTGTATTAATGATATATAATATAGAAATAATATGTAGTAGAAAATTATAAACACACAAATAATGTGTAAGTACTTAACTCTTTATCTATCTTAATCTTTTTGTTTGGACGGTTAACTGAACAATTAAAATCTTCTTCATTGTCATCATCAAATTTTATAATCAACAGTGACAACAAAGTGAAGGAAACATCAACAATATCGGCACTATCACATGTTTGACTCTCATCACCCTGGTAAGACATTAAAATTGTATAAAATTATGAAACGTTATATAAATAACGCAAAAAACATTTAATTGATAAAATATGATTTTAATTTAAAGATACTGCAGCTATTTTCGAATCTGCTAATACAACATCAGTGTCACAAGATTATCGAATATTGCTTGATCATGAAAAATAAAAAAATTTGTAAAACTAATACAAAGTACTAATATAATCAAATAACGTTTGAAAATGAAAACAACATAGATTCGGGTCAACAACGAACTTAAGGTATGATGCGATAATAGTTTCGCTGCAGCAAACTTTAGAAACTTGATATTTTGGCTCTGTGTATAATTCCAATTCTTTTTTTTCACATTGACTTTAAATAACATGGATTTTTCATTAAGAACGTTAAGCTCTTTCGGATAAAGATCCAAATCACCATCCTGCATCAAAATGTTATACAAAGTTAATTTAATTAAATAATTTTTCTTAAAGGAACCTCAGTGAACAGAAAATGATGAGGAATTAGAATCAAATCCTTTTGAAATGTTATTACAAAAAAAAAATCCTTTTGAAATGTTGCTCGCGTAAATAAGTAGCACTCATTCCTAACAAAACAACACAATCTCCATTGAACAACAGAAAAGATGCAGAATCTGTGTTATCCACAACGTTCACTTGAATACTGAATCTGCCAGACATTAACACTGACTGTTTTGTTACACATCACAAAGGAATAAGTGAAATGCACAATACTTTGTCATTGAAATGTTAAGATTCAAAACACGTTGAGGACAATAACTTACTTTAGATGATAATCATCCCAATGTTTCTAGCAATTCTTACAATACCAATTTTCATAATCAGAATAAACAAAATACAAATATTTCGTACAACATATGTACCACCAGTTGTATTTCGATTCAATCGATTTTATGGTTCCAAAAGTAATGCATGTCTTAACCTAACATATGAATAATAAAAACATAAGAACACAAAAAACACAATCCAATAAAGATATCGAAAAGCATTCATCAGTTGTAAAAATATACCTCCATAAGATTCTTAATATCACTGATACATTTCCTTTCGGCATTCTTCAGAAACTCATTTTCAAAAGAATATAAGGATTGGGTGGACAACTGAGTTATCCTCAGACTATTTTCCATCGAGAACCAGACGAAAGCCTAAAATGTAATTATATAACATAGAATAGAATCAAGACATATACGAAAATGAATGCTTTTGGAAAGACACATCCAGCTATATTAAATTACATGTTCTTAAAATTATATACGACACCTTTTTTTGAAGTCCATAATCTCTGGTACGTCGGAATCAAAAAGACTCTTTGTGGTATATTTTATTTTTGTTATTCCCATTTTACCTATACATTCAAAAAACAAATATAGTAAGACACGAAGAAAAAAACACAGTATAACAGAGAAATTAAATAATATATACTCAAACAAAAGCATAAAATGATAAAGAACTATTAGTAAAAGTACCCTTGAAACCCTTTATCCTTGAAAGTTGGACTATAATCACATTATGAGGAGACTCATTATTTTTCGAAAAAGTTTGTACTTGATCTACATTCTGCTCCCACAAAGTACACTCAAGCTTATTTCACAGTGATTGTAAGAAATCATGTTATATATTTAAACACATTTAACCAAGAACAAATCTATATAAACGTACGATAAACATAAATACCTTAGGTTGTCAAGCTCTAATATAACCATTTTCGTTTTTCTACCGGAGACAACCTGCTCACGAACTTCTCTAATTCCTGACAGTAAACCAATGATGTCTACAAAACAAAGAAGTTGAGCATATGATAATCTTAAAAAACAAAACAAATAAGTGAGCAATATGAGAGAAAAAACATATTACCTAATAAATAAACACTCTCAGATTCTTCTTTCTCAATCATGTCAGAATCAACAAAATTAAATCCATTAGGCGAGAAAATTAGCATCAACAACCGATTTAACATCCGTCCTAAAGTTGAAAGACATACGATAATCATGCCTAGTTGGCCTAAAAGTTTCACTATTTAAACCAACTCCAAAATTTCTGATAAAATAGGGATCTTCTTCACGAATTTTATTCTGGACTTTTAAGAACCTTTCATAGTATATGGATCCTTCCACCGTACAAAATGAATACATTAATAAAATAATGAAAATAAAATTATATCATTTCACAATAGTTGTGCCAAACAAAAGCCAAAAGTATTACCTATTCATCCAATAGAACCATCTCCACAATGTCATCAAAATCTTTCTGATACAAATTAAGAATCTTCCATGTCCTAATCACGCTAACCTTAATTCTACACTCCTCCTTGGTAGGATTAAGATCATTTATAAAATCATATTTGAAATACATAATGCAGAAGAACAACTTGAGAAGAAGAAGAAAAACAAACAGAGAACATAATAAATATGTGCACATAAGCCAACTTTCCAAAGAATGAAATAATTTTCGATTAGGGTCTTGGATGAAGCAAAATAAGAAAAATGTCTTATTTAAATAAGAAAAAAGAAAAACTAAAGGCCTGTTTGGTGTGATATATAAGGCTTGATAGTATAAGCAAATAATATACGTTATGACATTTTTAGTTATTCGGTATTATCATCGTATAGTATAAGCTTATACAGCAGAGTCCCTTAATACATCAAAATGATGTATAACTTAATCAGGTATAAGGAGGTGAGATTAAGTCTAATAAGGGATTAATTCAGTGCAATTCTCAATAATTAATATATTATTTTAATATTACTATATTAAAATAAAAAAATAAATTTTCAATATATTAATTTTTAAAATATTGGAAATTTTTATTTTTATAAAAATTAATATATTTTTTGGACACAGTGAGTCAGTGATTAATATATTTATATAAAAATTAATATCATATGACATATTTAGAATAATTATATAAATTATTTATTAAAAGGTATTTTTGCCAAAAATATTTACTTTTATCTTATCTAGTTTTATACAGTGCATTACCAAATATTGTATGATATTATCTTATTCAATACATTATCTTATATAATACAATGTCAAATACTGGATAATATTAAAATTTAATCAGGTATTATACTATCAAACTTTATACTATCATATCTTATCCTATATTATGCATCAAACGTTCCTAAATATATGATGGCTAATCACCCCTTGAAAATAAACTAATACAGAGATACACATAGAATCAATTGAAAATTTGAACTTTTAGAAAACAAATTCATAACCGAGATAGATATGTTGGATATTAAGTAAAAAAAGGATTACATGAAAAACAAACAATTTCTGTTTCTTTATTTTTTTATTTTTATTTTTCTTGAAATAAATTAGTTTGGTAGAAACAGAAAGTAGACATATCCATTGTTCAATAACCAACCAACCAACATTGGTCGCAAACTCGATTCTTCTTTCGCAGTTGCATTAGCAGAAGAGAAAACCCGTGGGATCTGCGAGGATTGGAAAACTTTTACACGATTCTGTTTATGAGCGCTTGGTGTGACGCTGTTGATTTCATTGGTAACTGATGGAATCACACGGTGAGCTTCTGCATCTCGTTCACTCCGCACAAATCATCTCAATTTTTTATTTTTTATTTTTTATTTCAATTTTCGACCTAATTTGTGATTGTTTCAGGTGGATTAAGGGATACGTCAGTTATTGTGGTGACATTGGATTCCGATGAAGTATACATAATCACGAGCCTGAGCACTAGAACGGATACTCAGGTCGTGTACGTGGATCCAACGACCGGTGCGCTTCGCCACGAGGGCAAGCTAGGGTTCGATGTGTTTAAGTCTGAGAAGGAAGCTTTGGATTTCGTTACCAACGGATCGCGATGGATATGTAAGAGCAAGGTTTATGGGAGAGCCATATTAGGTTATGCTGCATTGGGTAATTTCGCGTTGCTCCTTGTGGCGACGAGGTTAACTACCAGCATTCCCGATTTGCCAGGTGGAGGTTGTGTGTATACGGTGGCTGAGAGCCAGTGGATCAAGATTTTGTTGCAGAATGCGTTGCCACAGGGGAAAGGTGAGGTGAAGAATATTCAGGAGTTGACTGAGGTTGATATAGATGGGAAGCATTACTTCTGTGAGACAAGAGATATTACCCGCCCTTTTCCCAGCCGCATGAAGGTTGATCAACCCGACCCGGAGTTTGTTTGGAATGGCTGGTTTTCCACCCCCTTTGTCGACATTGGATTGCCACGTCATTGTGTCACTCTCTTGCAGGTTTTGTGATTTCTTCTATTTGCAATTTTCTGTAAATGTATACAGTTTTGATAGATGCTACCTTTTTGGTCTCTATAAGTTTTTGTCTATATAAATTAGTTTATGAAGTAGTTAACTTGCTCAACGGTTGGTGTTGTTGCCATGAGATCCAGAGGTAGATCCAGGTTCTATTCATGTAATCAGCCTCTTGCATTAGATAGGCTGCCTATTATAGATCCACATAACGAATCTGATCGTTACCTGGACCCTATGCTTAGTGGGAATTTTATAGCACTATGTTGCCCTTTGAATCTTATGGGAACCAAATCAGTGCGAGTAATGGCTTTCATAAAGCAAATTTTATATTTACACAGTTACATTCTTTATAATGATAACTGTGAAGTTGGACAAACTTTTCATGTGCTGGAAGGTTGGTATATGTTGGTTGTTATATTCATGTTAGTTATTAGTTTTCTTTCTTCGTTGTCTTCCTACTGTGTGGCATTCACGTACAAGTAAAAGCTCCCACAAGGTCTGCCTTATGAATTTTTATAGAAGTATTGAAGCAAGATCATACATATATAGTTGTTATGATGTAAAATTCACTTGTCCGTTCTGTTGTCTCACTTGGTCTTGATGTGTAGGGGTTTGCAGAATGTCGAAGTTTTGGAAGCTCAGGTCAACTAGAAGGTATTGTTGCTCTCACAGCTCGTCGGAGCAGGCTACACCCGGGTACTCGTTACTTGGCGAGGGGGCTAAACTCATGTTTCAGTACAGGTGAAGATACCTATCAACAATTCTTGAACTTAAAATTTTTCACCTTATATTGAATTGAGCTATAAACATAGCAAATGTAGGCAGGCTAACTTTGAGGAAATTGTTTTCTTAAATTAATCTTGTTTGATTATGATTTGCCAACTTAAGCTTTTAAGTTTAAAATTTTTCAGTCATGCTCATTATGGATTCAGTAACTCTACTACTTTCATTTTTATTCAATAGAATCTTCTTTTGCTTAGGGTGAGTCTTGGAGTGTAAAGAACCTTGGGATACACCTCCCTAAAAGCTAGCTCTAAGGGTGGGAGTGCCCAAGGCCTTATAAATGCCACATTAGTTGCTCATACAACTAATGTGGGACTACATATCTCAACACGCCCCTCACGCAAGAGCCCTTTGGGCTAGAAGCGTGGAATTGCACAGGCCCAATTTTTTTTGGTTTACCTTTTGTGCTTTTTTTTTATTTTAATTCCACTTTAAAGTAGGAGGCGGTGAGGGCTCAAGCACTGATACCATGTAAAGAACCTTAGGATACACCACCCCAAAAAGCTAGCTCTAAGGGTGGGAGTGCCTAAGGCCTTATAAAGGCCACATTAGTTGCTCACACAACCAATGTGGGACTACATATCTCAACATGGAGCAACCATAAGGTTGCTCCATGTGACTGGAAGGTTACGGGTTCGAGCCTGGGAAACAACATCTACGCAATATATATATATATATATATATGGTAAAATCATTTCTGCAGCCGCTTTACGTACGACAACGACATGTGTATGGTTATGATTCCCCACATTTATTGCTTTCATCCTTTGTATGGTTTTCCTGCATTTAATACTTTCAAGTATATATATGGCAAGTATTTGATTGCTGCACGTACAACAGCTGTAGAAATGTAAACCCCTATATATATATATATATATATATATATATATATATATATATATATATATATATATGCAAGGGTAAGGCTGCGTATAATCAACCATCACCTCTACCCTCGCAAGTCGGGGAGTCTTGTGCATTGGGGTTTTCCCTTTAGAATCTTCTTTTGTTTCCCATGGACATGCATTCATATCTTCTTTATTGAATTACCTAAATCGGGAGAGGTCCTTCAATCAGTTTTTCCCCCTAATTCCTTTTGCAATGAAACTTTGCTTGTTGCTTCTTTCATTCATTAATTCATTGTTTATTCTGTTTTGCTTTGATGGTCATTATATTACATATGCCTTAGTATTTCCATATGCCAAATGTTTATTAGGTTCCATTTGGCAGGAAATGAAGTGGAATGTGAGCAACTCGTATGGGTTCCTAAACGAGTTGGTCAAAGTGTACCTTTCAACACATATGTCTGGCGAAGAGGCACAATTCCTATCTGGTGGGGTGCAGAACTGAAAATCACTGCTGCAGAAGCTGAAATTTATGTTTCAGATTGTGATCCTTATAAAGGAAGTGTGCAGTACTATCAAAGACTGAGTAAGAGATATGATGCTCGGAATCTAGATATACATGCTGGTGAGAATGCAAATCGAAAAGCTTTGGTTCCCATTGTATGCATTAACTTGCTTCGTAATGGAGAAGGAAAGTCTGAGTCCATTTTGGTTCAGCATTTTGAGGAGTCTTTAAACTTTATTAAATCAACTGGGAAGCTTCCATATACTCGTGTCCATTTGATAAATTATGACTGGCATGCCAGTATAAAATTAAAAGGTGAACAGCAGACAATTGAAGGGTTATGGAAACTTCTAAAAGCACCCACTGTATCCATAGGCATATCTGAAGGAGATTATTTGCCTTCACGACAACGAATAAATGATTGTAGAGGTGAAGTCATCTGCCATGATGATTTTGAAGATGCATTCTGCTTAAGAACCCACCAAAATGGGATAATACGTTTTAACTGTGCTGATTCTCTGGATAGGACCAATGCTGCTAGTTTTTTTGGTTGCCTCCAAGTCTTCATGGAGCAATGTAGACGGCTGGGAATATCACTTGATAGTGATCTGGCATTTGGTTATCAGTCAATGAATAATAATTATGGTGGATATATTGCTCCACTGCCACCTGGGTGGGAGAAGCGATCTGATGCAGTGACAGGAAAAACATATTATATTGACCATAATACCAGAACCACCACATGGATGCATCCATGTCCTGATAAACCATGGAAGAGATTTGATATGACATTTGAGGAATTCAAGAGATCAACGATTTTGTCTCCTGTATCTCAGCTTTCTGATCTTTTTCTACTTGCTGGGGATATTCATGCTACTCTTTACACTGGGTCTAAAGCAATGCACAGCCAAATACTTAGCATATTCCATGAAGATACAGGAAAGTTTAAACAGTTTTCTGTTGCACAGAATATGAAAATCACTTTGCAAAGAAGATATAAGAATGCAGTTGTGGATAGCTCTCGTCAAAAGCAGTTAGAAATGTTTCTTGGAATGAGGCTTTTCAAGCATCTTCCATCAATTTCTCTTCAACCTCTACATGTATGTGATTTGTCAACTGTCAAAGTTAACTGAATGATGGCTTTGTCTTTCTTTTTCATACATCAAGTGCCTAGCAAATGCAGTTTCATAGTTAATTTCATGTTAGTTACTGAATCGCGACCTCTTTCTCTTTTAAGAACTCCTTAGTTTATGTCACATCTCTCTTTGTCTGTAATTTTTGTCTCATGTCTGCTTTTTGATGATTCCAATGCTAATTGTTGACTTGTAATCTTAGCTAGAGCTCGTTTGAATGGTTTTTTTTTTTTTTTTTAAGCACTTCTCACTCTATGTATGTATTTGGACACCAGCTTTTAAAAAAAAGAAAAAGCTAAAAAAAATTCAAAATACTGCCATTTTTAAGTTAAATTTTTTTGCTTCTAATAAAAGCAAAAATCAAAAGTTAAATATTTTTCTCAAAATCTAAATTTGCCCCAATCCCACCACCTGCGCTGTTGCTGCCACCACCACCTTCAAATCTTACTTCCATGATTTGCTTTAACATGTCCTTTTAGTAATTTATTATTATTATTATTATTGCCCCAATTGGAAATATTGCTTCCATGATTTGCTTTAACATATCCTTTTTAGTAATTTTATACATAAAAAGTGTTTTTTAATTTTAACACCCAAACAATTTTTTAGTTAAAAGTGCTTTTCAGGTACTCCATCCAAATGTAAAATAGTTTTTGTTTTAAAAAAAAGTCCTGAAAACAGCAATGCATAAAAAGCTCTTTTTTAAAAAGCCCTTCGAAATAGGCCTTTTGTACATTAGAGTTTTATAATGTTGGCACTTTTAAACTTTGTAGTTTTCAATTGGAAATAGCTATCACTTATCAATAACTGAGCTGTCTGATAATTGTAGGTACTGTCTCGGCCATCTGGTTTCCTTCTCAAGCCAGTTGCAAACTTATTTCCTATTTCTGGTGGTGAAGCTAGTCTTCTTAGTTTCAAGAGCAAAGACCTAGTCTGGGTATGCTTAGTATTTAGTTCCATTTGAAGGAAACTCCTGTGCTTCTTATAACTGTTATCTCATGTTTCAATAGTTCTAAAATATCCACCTTAAAATTTTGAAGATTTATGTATCTCGTCTTACCAAATTATATACCTTTTTCTTTCACAGATTTGTCCACAGCCTGCAGATGTATTTGAAATCTTTATTTATCTTGGCGAGCCTTGCCATGTTTGTCATCTTCTTCTCACAATATCCCATGGTGCAGATGATTCAACTTATCCATCAACAGTTGATGTACGGACAGGACGCCATTTAGATGGGCTTAAACTGGTCTTGGAGGTCTGTATTTGGCCTTCTTTGCATCTCACTCCTCATAATATTCATGTATGCTTTTGATAATACTGCAGAAAGAGTTGGTCTTAATCATGCTAACTGAATTGGAAGAGGGCTTGTGCTCACTATGTTGTGAGCAAAACACAAGTTTCCAACAGGAATTGTTCAAAAGACATTTTCAATTTTTATTTATTATTTTGACTGTTAAACTACTTTATGATTTACATAAGTGGGGGACGGCGAGGCTCTGATACTATGTAAGGAACCTTGGGATACACCACCCCAAAAGCTAGCTCAAAGGGTGGGAGTGCCCAAGACCTTATAAACTCCACATTAGTTGCACATACAACCAATGTGGGACTATATATCTCAACAGTTTGAATATAAAATCAAAATTTTAAATTTTAATAAGTCATGATCTGTGTCGTATTGACAGGTAGTTTATTACTTTCTATTATGGATCCCATTTGAATATAGTTCTGAAATCTGAACCTGTTAGACATCTGTTGGCAGGGTGCTTCTTTACCAAAGTGTGCTAGTGGGACCAACCTATTAATACCCTTGCCTGGGGCAATTAGTGAAGAAGATATGGCCATAACTGGAGCAAGCTCTCGTCTACATGCCCAAGATGCATCACCCTTGTCACTACTGTATGATTTTGAGGAACTCGAGGGAGAGTGGGATTTCCTTACTCGTGTAGTGGCACTTACCTTTTATCCTACTGTTTCTGGAAGAAATCCATTGACACTTGGTGAGGTAGATATTTCCAAACATATACATACCTGATGATGAGTCTTGACTTGACTAACTGTAATATTCTTTGGCAGTAATCTTTTATTTTCCATGTGGGTAGCATGAATGTTCTTTTGTGTTGCGAATAGAAAAAGACAATATAGTTCAAGAAGGGCACATAATTTAGCTTAATAGGTCAGCTGATAATCAATGTGTATGAATTGAATTCCATAGGATAACCCTTTTTACTTACCAAAAATCCTTTCTTCTCTTACCCTGGATAACATTAGAAAGAATGGCTTAGGCTGCAATCAAAGTGAGACCCATTTGGAGGTTTCTTGATTATAATGTATGGTGTGGAAATCCATGATGAAATCAAAATTTGCTGGCTCTTTCTGTCTCTTTTTCCCCCTGGTGGCAAAATATCTTGTGCTTTTATTTCTAAAGTTTTCAACTAAGTAAATTGTTGTTTGTGTGTTAAATTTTGTTGTATGTCAATGAAAATGGAAAGTTTTTGCTTCTTGGAATGATTTAATACTAATATATTCTCTTTGTTTCCTTTTTTATACATAAAAAAATTTAATTTGATGAACCAGAAATATTTTCTACAATGTTATGATCTAGAAATGAAATTTGAAAACTGTAAAAAACCAATTAAACCCAAAAGTTTAAGCTGTTGGATGAAGGCCTCTTTAATGATTTATATTATACTCTAACACGCCCCCTCACAAGAGAGCCATTAGCTTGAAAGATGGATGATGCATCAGGCTCAGCCTACCTGTGCTAAGAAATTCCACAAAGAAAATGGGGGGCGGATAGGATCGAACCCGGGACACGAGACTCTGATACCATGTAAAGAACCAATTTAACCCAAAAGTTTAAGCTGTTGGTTGAGGGCCTCTTTAATGGTTTATATTATACTCTAACAAAAACGAAGATTTTGAAGTGTGCTTCAAACCAAATGCAACTTATTTTTCAGTTTCCCTCCTCTCTACTACTTTACGAATAACTTAGTCAATGTTGGAATGCTTTACTTGCTGTCTTCATCCTTGTGCCTATTATTACAATTGTTTAGTTAGTTGTATTATCAAGATAGGGATGTAAATTTGAGTTTTAATGTAAATCTTTTATTGCTGCTTTATGATGATGTGGTTTGGCTATAGATTGAAATCCTTGGAGTTTCTCTTCCGTGGAGGGATGTATTTACTAATGAAGGTGATGGTACAAGATTAATTGAGCATGTCAAGAAGTTTCAAGAGGAGCTTAATCCCTTTTTATCTGGTTCAGATATGAATCCATCTAACCCTTCATCCACAGTAAATCTGTCACCACCTGAGCAAGGAGGTACTTCTGCTGACCTTTTGATTGACCTCCTGTCCGGAGAGGATCCACTTCCACACCCACTCGCACAGCCAGTTACTGAAATTGTCGCCTCCAAGGAAAGTGACCCACTTGATTTCTTGGACCAAGATGTTGGATATCATAGTGCCAAAAGGGATTGTAAAATTCCATCAGAAGATACTAGCGTGGAACAATATTTAAAATGCCTGAAATCTATTGCTGGGCCAAGTTTGGTATGTTTTCATTTTGTTCATGTTGCTCTGAACCATTATAAGTTTTCTTGTTTTGCCCATCCAATATTACCGTCTCCTAGTATTTATATGAATTTTCATTCCCTAAAAATGTTCTTTCTCTCTTCAAGATGAATGTTTCTACAATGCTCCATTCTTATTCTCATTCTTATTATTATTATCATTGTCAAAGATAGTTCATGACAAATATTATTTGAATGTCACTATTGCTGCCTCTAGATTTTGTTTGAATTTGATTTTTCCATGTGCCCGCTAACAAGAAATGATAGCTTAAAGGGAAATAAATTTCATTCAAGATTGTTGTCTGTGATTAGATTCTTCACAGTTGTCATGTACGAAATATTGCAATTTTATGTGCCAATTTTCGCATTTGTCTTTGCATGGTAGTGCAGCTACTTTCATTTGGAATAATTTTTTGGTGTTTTTGGTGATTGTTGTGTGTTTTTGGCTTTCTTTCAGTGCTGTGCTCATGAGTTCTTTAAGGGAACCTCCCTATTAGATTTTTCAGAGGGATTGGAGTGTTTTATTTCATGACAAGCTTGTTTGATTTTACTGTTCCCTTTTCATTGTTTTCATTGCCAAGGAGGAAATCTCATTCTCCTTTTGTATTTGTATCTTGTCTTTTTCTCTCTCTAATTCTAATATATTTAGTCTTTTACAAAGAGAAAAACCCAATAAATGTGACACTTGTTCACCCTGTTTGAGATAGAGTTGTGTTTATGACTTCTCTCCAGTACTTATGACTTACAAGGCAGTTTCCATTTCTCATATGCTGACAGACTAGGAAGCTTTGATGCATTATTGATTCCTTCTTTTCCCATGCCTTCTCTTCATCTGTTTTGGAGGATATTTTTTTCTGTCCTGAGATTTACTTTGTCCTTTTCTCTCCAATAAAATTTATCAAAAAATGGGAAATTCCTGATAAGTCAAGATTTTCGATGTGGGGGAAACTGGCTAATAGTGAGTGGTTAATCAGTAATGTAACTTAATTCAGTGGTTATCATTCATCTGTTCCCTATTCACGAATGATATTCCCCCTTCCCCCTCCCCCAAAACAAAAAACTGTTTAACCTGAATATTTAAGTTGTTTCGTAGCTCTTAAATGGACTACGTAATTGTTCTTTTAGTATCTTTAATTTGAATCTAATTTGTGAATTTTTTTGCATATTTTTTGTAGCAAAGAAAACTTGACTTCATTGAAGCCATGAAACTTGAAATTGAACGCCTTAAGTTGAATCTTTCTGCTGCTGAAAGGGATAGAGCACTACTATCCGTTGGAATGGATCCTGCAACCATAAATCCTAATAAACTGCTCGATGAAGCTTACATGGGAAGATTATCTAAAGTTGGAAATACTCTGGCACTGCTTGGAGAAGCTTCTCTTGAAGATAAACTTATTGCTGCTATAGGTCTTGGGACTGTTGATGATAATCCAATAGATTTCTGGAATGTTATCAGAATTGGGGAAACCTGTTCAGGTGGCACGTGTGAGGTGCGTGCTGAAATTAAAAAAGCAGGTCATTCAATTAACAAAACGTCAGCTGCTGGGGCTCCAGAACCTGTATTCTTGTGTTCTCAATGTGAAAGGAAGGTTTGTAGAGTTTGCTGTGCTGGGAGAGGGGCACTTCTGCTTACAGGTTATAACTCAAGAGAGGCAATGAATTACAATGGTGCATCAAGCCAAAGTGGCCAAGTTGACTTCCCTATGAATCGATTATTAGCTCGGGATGGTGTAATTTGTAAACGATGCTGCCAGGATATTGTGCAGCATGCATTGATTTTGGACAATGTGAGGGTTCTGATTAGCTTACGAAGAACAGGTTGTGTGGAAAAGGCTGCTTGCAGTGCTTTGAAGCAAATCATTGGGTCATCTTTGGATTGTCTCCTAGAAAAGAATCAGGCATCTGATAGCCAGTCAGCTAGCAAAACAGTACAGCTGTTACCAAATGGATATGAATCCCTGGCTGAATTTCCTTTTGCCAGCTTTTTACACCCGGTATATATATTTTTTATCTCAATATGTATTCTGATTTTGGGCCCTGCAGTATTTTGTATTGCTTATGTGTGGATTATCAACGTGTTTTATGCATGCCATATGATTTATATCTATTGTTGCATGGATGAATTTAAATACCAATTATCGAAATAATTTTAATAATGGATGGTTCATAGACAAATCTATTGTTGCAAGATGAAGGGAAGCACTGGATATAACTGACACAAGAACTTGGGGTTTGAGTTGCCATTCAAAGAAGTGCATGGGTTATTTTTTAACCATGAAGTTAAAAGAATTGTGTATAAACTTTTATATAGCTGAATTCCCGAATTACTATTACATGGCCTCCTTTTGCTAGACCACTAATCTAATAAAGATTTTCAGTTAATATACCCAGACATTATAATAATTTGGGATAAAGGTGTTGTTGATGTTGATGTTGATGTATACCCAGACATTATAATCAAAACAAAACAATGTACAAGCTGTGTTGTCTAGACAAAATTTAAAAGACGAGCAAAGACCAGAGGAGACCTATATATAATTATGCATAATTGTATTGGCAGCTCAGTAACATGAATATTGGACCATTTTCACTGATTTAATCAACAGTGGCTTCTGATTAAGCCCTTGTTTGTACTAATTGCATGTTAAGTGAAGAGTTGTGAAGTATAGTTGTGTTGCTATTACAACGTAGCAAAAAGAAGTTTTTGCTACGTTGGGGAGCCAATATGATTCTGGCCCTTCAAATGGAGGAGGTCTAGTCCCATTTTTGCTGCATTAATATAATGTTACAAATAATCATTAACCATGCAATTGCAGGTTGAAACGGCAGCAAATTCTGCTCCATTTTTGTCATTGCTTGCTCCATTTAATTCTGGCTCGTGGCTATCATATTGGAAAGCTCCATCCAGTACCACCTCTGTTGAATTTGGAATTGTCCTTGGTAACATTTCTGATGTTAGTGGGGTTATATTGGTAGTCAGCCCATGTGGCTACTCTATGGCTGATGCTCCAATTGTAAGTACCAATTTTCATTTACCTCCTGCTCTATTTTTTCTTTTTGTTGCTCATTGAATTTAGAAATAAGCTTTAGGAATATGTCGGTGCAGGTGCAAATTTGGGCAAGTAATAAAATACACAAGGAAGAAAGATCATTTATGGGAAAATGGGATCTACAGTCTATGATTAAGGCTTCCTCAGATTTATATGGGCCTGAAAAGTCAGGAACAGAGCATAAAGTGCCTAGACATGTAAAGTTTCCCTTCAAGAATTCTGTTCGGTGCCGCATAATTTGGATAAGTTTACGCCTTCAGCGACCTGGTTCAAGTTCTATAAATATTGGAAATGATTTTAATCTGTTGTCTCTAGACGAGAATCCTTTTGCACAAGACTCTCGACGGGCCTCTTTTGGAGGAGCTGCTGAAAATGAAACCTGTCTTCATGCCAAGAGGATTTTAGTGGTTGGAAGCCCCATCAGAAAGGAAGTTTATCTAAAGTCACAGCAAAGCCCTGACCAGCTGAACCTGAAAGGATGGTTGGAAAGAGCTCCGCAGCTAAATAGATTCAAGGTAAACTCTATGCTATTTTGCTTAGTCCCTTTGTGATAAACATTGTGTTTGAAGTTATCACCATATCAAAAACATCATTGATTAACCTGTGATATTTTTAGGTTCCGATTGAGGCTGAAAGATTGATGGACAATGATCTTGTTCTGGAGCAGTATCTATCTCCTGCTTCCCCCTCGCTTTCTGGATTTCGTTTAGATGCCTTTAGTGCAATCAAGCCTCGGGTTACCCATTCACCTTCTTCAGATGTACACAATGAAAAATTTTCATCCCTTTTGGATGACAGATACATTGCTCCAGCTGTGTTGTATATTCAAGTATCTGTTCTCCAGGTATTTACTGGAACATCATCATACTGCTTCTTTCATGTTTCTCTTGCCTGGGTATATCCATGGAGGTACTCCTTATCAGTTTCTATGTTTTGGAAGAGCTCTGATTTTGTTCATCTAATTTCTCTTTTTGCCATAGTTGTTTAGCACCTGCGCCATACTAAATAGAATGAATTTTAAAATTAGAAAAAGGGCATCAAGGTTTTATTCACAAAGCACTGCCATGTATTTGACTTTTTAATTATGTCTCCATAAAGTAGTATGGTGTACTTGATTTTTTTTTTTGATTTTTTTTTTTGACTAAATCTTGTAGAAAAATGCTTCTTCCATTATTATATTTTAAAAATTAAACTTACACTTATTAGTAAAATTTCTTCTTTTATAAGGGGGACAAAGTTCAAAGTGTAAGGTTGCATATTTTCAAGGATTATCAAGTTATTCCTGGGAAAGTGAACTTAGGAATATGACATTCTCATGATTGATTCAAGTTTTAAAAAATTATTAATGAGCATTATTTGTTTCCTGGAAAGTAACATTCCCATGTTTTGCTTGATATTTATTCTCATGATGAGGGGTGAGCACGTGCTTTCCCATGGCATGGGAATGGAAGTTATCTTGTTTCCCAACTATTAACTCCCACTTCTTTCTCCAATCATTTGAATTTTAAAAAATATTAATTGCTAACCAAACATGTTTTTTGAATTTACCCACAAATAACATTTCTTGGAAATATAATCATATACCTTGAAACAAACGCCTCCTAATAGATTGCTCTGTTTCCATCATTCCGTCCCTACCTGAATTTGCTTATGTTCGAGCTGATGTTATTATCTATTATTTCTTCAGTACTTCAAATATAGTAGGAAGACTGGAAAAACTGATTGTCTTCATTTTACTCAATTTTAACGGGGTAGGGGAATTTGAAGTCTTATAGAAGGGATTTTGCGGTACCAGATATGTAAGGATTGCATCCCATTTTCTCATTTTTTCCATTGGGGTATCCAATCAGCCCAATTATTAGTCCTAAGATATATTAAGACGGGTGATATTTTTAGAACCATCAATTTTTGTGGTTTTGGATTAGATGCCTCTAGATATACACTTGATTATTCCCTGTTATTTATCTTTTCATGTAAGATAGATTTTTTTTTTTTTTTTGTGTGGGGGTGTTTTTGTGTGGTTTGTATTGTTGGATGAGAAAAACCTGATGGTGGGATTGATTGCAGGAATACCATAGCTTGGTAACCATTGGTGAGTACCGATTACCAGAGGCCAGGGTTGGAACACCAATGTACTTTGATTTCCCTAAGCAGATACAAACTCGCAGAATTTCATTCAAACTACTTGGAGATGTTGCAGCTTTTACAGATGACCCATCAGAGCAAGATGATTCTGGTACTAGAATTTCTCCGTTGGCAATAGGGCTATCATTGTCCAATAGAATTAAGCTGTATTACTATGCTGATCCATATGAACTTGGGAAATGGGCTAGCCTAGCAGCAGTTTAATAACACGTCGGTACTTCGGTTATTGACATTGATTGATTGTGTAAACTTTTTCACATTTTGTTGTATTATGGTGTGTAAAGTTCATTCATTGATGTAATAATTTTGTAGGATTATTCTATTGGGAAAATTAGTAGTGTTATTTCTAGCCACTTGTGGTTTATCTTAAGCCCAGATAGTTGGAAAGGTGAGAGAGTTTGGATTGAGGTTGGAAGTTCAATTGTAGTTGTTCTTTAGTCTATCACAAAGGTGAATTTCATTTTTGACTCGTTCATCTTCAATTTATTTGTTTATCTCCTTTATTTTTATTTTTTCCAGATCTATTACATGCGTACAAGAGCTAGTCACTGGTTGAAAATGATTTTACGTTATAAGTTGTTTTTCGTTTTGTCGTTGAAAGTGGCAAGGTGACGAGCACTTGATCCCGAAGCATAATTTCCTTTTAACCTCCTTTTATATATTCCTTTTCATTCCTTCAGAATCTTCTTGCGAGAGGATGGATATTCGATATGCTTATTGATCTTTTATGAGCTCTATTAATAATGGCTTGGTAGCAAACGTTGCGTTTTTTTACCCTAAAAAGTAAGCGATGTATTCACAGCAAAGGCCAATGGTAGGGAGGGTCCACAGTAAACAAAGAGATCGAACCTTATCTGGAACGAGCCAATGAATTTTCGCAAACATATCTCACATTTCTTACTCCATACAATATCCACTCCTAGTTCTAGTCCGGGCTACAGTACAGAGTTTTTTTCTTCTATTTTGTGACAAGAGATAACCACTAAAATTTTGTTATTTTTAATCAAAAAACACATTGCCTACATCTGGTTGATTAAATTATTTTTCAATTCAAAGTTGAGACCAATCAAATCATGGCTCATTTGCTGACACCAGCTCCAGCTCTCTCCGCGAGACCTCGAAAGAGCTCCCTCTATTCTTGGAAAAATGGGTGCTTTATAACTTCAAGAGTGTGCTGTGTTGGCCACCAATATCAACCTGAGGCCTCTTCCATCTCTGATCAAGTCCCTTCTCCCCGTGATGACCACTCTCTGCGTCGCAGGTATCCCTATAACTATAATCTGCTGCATTACAATAATGTATAAGTTCTTAACAAAAAAAACTATTTTATATTATCATTATTTTTATGATATCATTCAGAGAGTTAGATTATTATAGTTAAAATCTTATTAATGATATAGGAACACGATCTAAATTAAAAAAAAAAAAAAAAAAAACCTGACAAGCAGGGTAATAGCATGATGGATGATGATGCATTGGTATTGCAATCTTTCATGCAGGGCATTGATGGGTTTAAGTGGTGCAGTAATGTTGGGATTGAGTTTGAGTGATGAGCAAAGTGCAAGTGGCGCTGGAAGGCCTCCACCGCCTCCGCCAAAGGAGAAAAAGGATCCGAATCTGAGTGGTGTTCAGGCAAAAGTATTGGCTAGCAAGAGGAGAAAAGAAGCCATGAAAGAAACAGTGGCCAAACTAAGAGAGCAAGGGAAGACCATTAATAAAGAGCCACCACCTGCATCGCAATAGTTTCCAAATGTTTAACCTTTCCATTGTCACCTACAAATGGTTGATGTTATTGTTGTATTACTATTATTGCTCAATTAAATAAGACCGTTTCGCTTAGGGTGCGTTTGGTTGAGGAGAAATTTTTTGAATACTAGAGAAATAAAATTGATAAGGAAATGGTAAGAAAGTGAGATAAAGTGAGATAGATAGGAAAATGTAAAAAAAAGTTGTTTGGTGGGAAAAAAATTTACTGAGAAAATTAGGTAACTTTTATAAAATGTATGTTTGGTTGGAGGTAAGATATAGATGGAAAAATAATATGAAATGACAAAAATAACCCTAAAACTATTCTTCTTTTTGTACACAAAGAGAAAATCGTCGCCACGCTTTTAAATGTTGACAATAACTTGTGCAATATGATTTTCTGGATTTATATGAAGGGATAAACTTGCCTTCAAGTTTCAATCTCGCTGAAATTACATTGTTTGGGTTTGGTTTTGTTTTATTTAAGAAAAAAAGAATGATGGGTGTGTTCCCCTTTGATCAAAGTTTGTGAATTTGAGAAAAGAAAACAGGCGTAACGTAACCACGGAGGTAGCAGTGAATCGAAGGATGATCGGCGATGAGGATGATGACCCAGAAAGAAAGACGTTGAATTTGAAGCCCTGTTCTCGGGTGACAAACTTCCAACGCGATCTCATGGCTGGGGCAGTGATGGGAGGGGCGGTGCACACCATTCCAAATAGGTTTGCTTAGTGATACTGATTACCAGCACATGCCAGAAAACAAATGACCACCATAGAAATATATACTTGAGCTGTGTATGCAACCAGAAAACAAGTGACCACCATAGAAAACCATTCTTTTTGTGCGCTTAGTTAAAGGGTATGCTGGTCTTTTGATTAGTATCAAGTTAAAGCAAATAGGTTGCTTTCTACGAATACCACACTGGCTGTGGGATAGTTTAGCCGGATATATGCACAGAGATAGATAGAGAACTTGGTTTGATAGGTTTCTGATTTAGATAGGTAAGTAAGAAATCAAACACAACCAAACATGGATACCTTATATTCCCACTACCCATTTCCCCATCTATCTCAACAGATGCCAGCAACCAAACACCTCCTTATAGTTTTTATGGATTAGAAGACTAAAATGGCATTTATTTTACCATTCTAAATTACCTTTCTTATCTAATTAATAAAGAGTCATCAAGAGAAAACCCGGGTTAGGTTGGGGGAACAGCTCCTTATTACATTTATTTATGTTCCCATTCCTTCATAACAAATCAAAAATGTTTTGCAAGAGGTCATATTCATATGACTATCAACAATGGTTCCGCTTCCGCTTCCGCCTACAATTTAACCAAGTTATGTTGATAATTACTTCGCAAGACTTTTTCTTAGGCCTTCGAAAGCCACTTTATAAAGATGACTTGTGATTACAACATTCAAACTTCTCGTGCTGCCATTCTAAGAAAAGGAAAAACTGTTTGAGCATGAATCTAGGAACTTATGTCTAATTTAAATCATACTTCTAACTACAAAGCAACTCTATTACATATTATCTGAAAGACTAGAAATAACATAATCCTCCAAATCCTAGTCCGAAATGCACAAATAGTTGTTATAGTAATAAAAATGAAGTGGCACAAACTTTAAAGCATAGGATATTATACCTATATTTTTTTATGTCTATTCTATTTTTTTTTTCAATATCATTAGATTAGAATTTTAAAATAAATAAATAAATGATAAATGTGAGTTAAGACTTTAATATAACAATATTAAAAATGAATAAGTAAAATTGGCATAAAAAAAGATAAGCATACTATTATATCCCAATTTTAAAAAGTGCTGCAAGCCGTACTTTTTTTTTTTTGTGTGATTAAAATAAGAGATAATATATTATATCTATTATTTTTCATGTTTACTTTACTTGCTTTTTTTTTTTTTAATATCATCGAATCACAATTTCTTGCGAAAAGGGAGAAAATGGGAAGTTTACTTGACATTCTGATCTGAAAAGAAATAGACAGAGTAGACATTAAAAAATAAAAAAATCTATGTGAGGTAGGTCAACGAAAGAATCTATGTGAGGTACAGTACACTAGTAGTGTTTGTAACTGAGAGCGTTGGGTTGGGTGAAGGAGCCAAAGCACGCACAAAATGATGCCCAAATGCTCTCTACAGACACAGCCATCTCAGTTTCAGAGCTTGAACAATCTCCGACAACTCGCCGAAACGCGTCGTTTCAAGGTAATCCCTAGTCCCTCATTCGTTTGCGTTTCTCTATTCTCATTTTATTTTTATAGACACAAAACATAATCAGATAGATATATCATATGTTAATGTTACAATTTGGCAGGTATGGTTGTTGGATCAGTTCGGAGTCCTCCATGATGGAAAACAACCTTATCCTGGTGCTATTTCAACATGTATGCATTTTTTATTTTGTTCTCTTGTTAAAGACATCATCGTATGTTTTGTGTCTTATAAACCTTATGTTTGGTTGGTTTCTATTGGCCAACCACACAGGTGAACCTAATTTTTTCTCTTTTTTTTTTTTTAAAAAAAAAAAAAATTGTTTGATTTTTTTTAGTAGAAAATATAGCAAAGACGGGTGCTAAGATGGTGATCATAAGCAACTCCTCGAGACGTTCATCAGTGACTATTGAAAAAGTCAAGAGTCTTGGCTTTGATGCCTCTCTTTTTCTGGGAGTCATCACTAGTGGAGAACTCACTCATCAGTACTTGCAAAGGTTCTACCAACTTATCTCTTTGTTTCCTTTTCATTGAGCAAAACAAAAACCAATCAATTGTGATTGTGAAATCTTTATTAATTTCCTTTTATATGGTTACTGGTGAGCTATGGTATTGTAAGTGTTAATCTCAGTTGGATGAGTGAATTGTTGATAAATGACTGTTACATGGCTTTGGTTGAATGATCCGACCTTTATTTTTTCTTCCAATACCCTTTTTCTGTTCTTCACTGCTTAGTTCATGTTTCTTTTCTATGTCTAATTACAATCATACTACAAATTTTCTGTTGCATCTAGTGCTTTTAGCTCTTGAGAAAACGTTTAACTGTACAAAAATTTGCCCTTGCTATCCATGTTCAATCATCAATTCCATCCTTTTGCATTTATGCATATTCATTCTTTCAATAAATTGTGTTTCAAACAGGAGAGATGATCCTTGGTTTGCAGCATTGGGAAGGTCTTGTATTCATTTCACCTGGAATGGCCGGGGAGCAATATCTCTCGAGGTGTGTAGAGCAGCAATGCCTTTTAGCTTGAATTCTGATAATCAACATATTCAATTGCTACTTCCATGAATATTATTGTGCTATGCAATACAACTTGTGTTAGAGATATATAAAACTATTAATGTAGCCTCACCCATCAGCTTAAGCTTTTGGGTTGAATTGGTTCTTTACATGGTATCAAAGCCTCGATGTCATGGGTTCGATCCTTACCGCCCCCCCATTTAATTAATAATCAATTAAGTCTTGTGTAGTTTCTCAGCACATGTAGGTGGACCTGTACATTGTCTACCCTTCAAGTCCAATGAGATTTTGTATGAGGGGGCGTGTTAGAGATATATAAAACTATTAATGTAGCTTTACCCATCAGCTTAAGCTTTTGGGTTAAATTGGTTCTTTACAACATGGTTTGATTCTTGGAGCAATTGTTTTCTCGGTAAATTAAGGAGCAATCAGGTTTATAGTGAAATCAATTAGTCTGCTTACAAGGAGCTCCTTTCTTCTAACTGATTAAAGATATACCAAGAACTGAGGAATTTGGTTTGCACTAAACAGTAGATTACTGAGGTCTTCTCAATTTTTATCCATGTCAAAGTCAAATTATTCTCAATTATCACAAATCTGGGGAAGACGTGTATAAAATTGTGGTATATAATGTAAATATGATTGCCATAAATAATATACATCCAGGGCATTAAAGTCTTACAGCATATGAATAACTTCTTCTAGGGCTTAGACTTGCAAGTCGTGGAGAATGTTGAAGAAGCTGAGTTTGTTTTGGCTCATGGCACTGAAGCCTTGGGGGATGCCAATGGGAATGCACGTTCAATGAAACTTGAAGACCTTGAGAGAATATTGGAGCTTTGTGCAGCCAAAAGAATTCCTATGGTGGTAGCCAATCCAGATTATGTTACTGTTGAAGCAAGAGACTTACGTGTGATGCCTGGTGAATTTGCTTTATCTTATCCTTTCTCCTTTAAACCAAATCTAAAAGCATAACACCTAAATAGTAATAAGTTACCTTTTCATCCAAAGTTACAGCATTAAGTTTTCATTAGATGAGATTGCTACTAGTATCATGTTACTTCTTTTTCTTCTTTTTTCTTTACAGTTTCACCATATGCTAATATTTTGTGTATGTATTTTAAATTTAGGTACACTAGCAGCTAAATATGAAAAGCTTGGGGGTGAAGTAAAATGGATGGGCAAACCTGATGAGGTGATAAAACCATTTCTGAGTGAATAAATCCATTTTTTATAGTTGTTTTCTCCTGTATGTAATCTATAAGAATTCATCTTCAGAACATATTAGCTTGTCAATTTATTGCTTTATCATCTGGTTCAGAAGACAAGTGTCAACTTTCAAAATGATTAAGTAGCATGTTTAATACCTCAAGGATTTTCAAGTTAACTGCATCCTCTTATTTTAAGTGTGCACAATGTGTTTTCAATCTTAACATACAAAAGTAAATTCACAGTTTTAAATTTTCAAGTCAAGCTAAGTTGTGTCCAGTTAATATCGTTAAATGGATTAAATTGGGTAAACTGTTTTCCTCAAAATCTCAAATTCTACATAATTCATATCAACAATTTGATATGTTTAGGATCATTGAAATATATATTCAATGCAGATATATAATTTTTTGGCTAACAAGTAGCAAAATACTTATTTATATGATAACATTATTAACATCTTTGTGGATCTCAATATATATCATCTTCTGTTGCATTTGCATATCCATCCTTATTCCATGTTCTTGACAAGTATTTGTAACTATTGAGATTTGTCAGATAATCTACAAGTCAGCCATGGCCATAGCTGGCACAGATGTTTCTGACTGTATAGCTGTGGGTGATTCTCTCCATCATGATATTAAGGGCGCTAATGCTGCTGGAATCGAATCAGTTTTTATTACTGGTGGGGTTCATGCAACTGAACTTGGACTACATGGTTTTGGAGAAGTTGCAAATTCATCTTCTGTGCAATCGCTTGCAACGAAATATAATGCTTATCCATCTTATGTGTTGCCAGCATTCACATGGTAGAACATCACATGATAAACATTCACATGCTTATCCACTACAATTATCATTGTAATTGTTTTTTTAGCGTTTGTATAATTTATTGACCACTGGTTCCCATACGAACTATGTTTGTGCATGTAAAGAGAATACAGTAGATGCATAGTGGAAGACCATTGTTGATGAGATATAGAAGTATGAAACAATATCTTTGAACATCATTAATTTTGAGATCTTATGTTGTATTGTGATATTTTGGCTTACTCAAGCTGAGTAATTTTATGTTATTGGAAAATTGCACTATTGCAATTTCATATTATTGGGAAATCGTACTTTTGCACCTTTATGTTATTAGTAAATTGCATTGAGCACGGATAGGAATCAATATATTATATTTTTTTTTATCATATTCCAACATTAATACTTAGTAGACTACTAGGCCCATAATTCATTAAAAATATAATACTTATTATAACGTGTTTTGGTATTTTTCAACACATTGATTACCATAATCTTATCGTGAGATTATGTTGTATTGGATTGTATTGAGATATTGTAATTGGAATATATTTTTTTTTTAAAAGTCACATAAAGTAAATTTTCAATTATTAACTCAATAGAGTTATTTTTAAAATAAAATTATTCTAAAATAAAAATAAATTGATTAATGTTGCCCAAGTTAGAGAATAATAGAAAAAATTTCATGTGGCTAACATTAATTGTTTTTATATTTAAAAATAATCAAATTAATGGGTATTCTAATTAATTGATTAGTATTAAGCCATTTTGTGATCGTATTAAATTAGATTTTGACATCTATTGATATTCGATCCAGTTTCGCACCAAAATATAAGCAATTATATTTGACTCAAATTTGTGACGGGAGAACCCGAATTAACATATTAATAATTAATGTTTTGCTAATTGTTAATGTGAATTCATATAGAGTGTCATTGTTCGTTGGTGTGTGAACCAATGAACAAGCATTAGAGGGTAGATTACATGATTAGTGCATAGACTAATATGCGATTGGATGTGTGATATGATATGTTTGTGCGTATAGCCATGGAATCATGAGTTGATTGGTTAAGATTCATTGGCCAAGAGAATATAACATGGACTTTCCCTTCGAGGGATTTATCGAAGAGGCTTATATCTTCGGTGTTCCATATGGATACTCACTTGAGGTATACCTCATTTTAGTGGTCCTAGTGTACTAGGTAGAGAAAGAGAATTGATGATTAAGTAGGTTCATTGACCAAAAGAATATGGCATGGGCTTCCTTTTACGACATTATCCTAAGAGGTCCAACTCTTGGAAGTCCATGTGGGCATTTGTATGAGTGACAGCTCATCAAGTGGTCCTAGTGCACCAGGTCCATGAATTAATCAACTCTAGGTTGCCTCAATGTATATATAATGTTATATTATGCTATGTGTATTTTAACATTTCATGTAGGCAAGTGAACTTAAAGGTGGAGGAATCTCCAAGGATTCTTAATTTACTAAGATTTTTAACTCTCCTTATTTGGGGTTATATGGTTTCAGGTCCTCAAAGAGGAGGGAGTAATATTTCAAGGGAAAAGGAACATATATAGCTCTCTTGAAGATTGCTTATGTTTGACATGCTTATTTTAGGAGCCTATGTATTTGGAAAACCATTTTGAGAAGAAGACATGCATTTTGATAAAAAGGCATTAATATGTTGTATATGTCTTATGATTCAAGCATGTATTTTTGGTTTGTAATTCAAGTGATTGAGGCATATGTTTATAATGCCAATTATGTCAAAGTGGTATGTCTTGTAATTGAGTATTGAGATGGATTATTTGGATGTTTCCTTTGGAATAAAGAACTCTTGGTTATATGTGAATTGATAGGTGCACCTGTGTAACTAATGTATTCTGTCATGGAATGACCAATAACAAGTTACACATTGATGTCTAAGTTGAATTTTGAATTAAGTTATGTATGGATGTATTATTGATTATAGATGTAAAGGCTTTGAGGCTTAAGTCATGTATCCATGGATGGATATTTTAATAAGTAGTATGAATTCAAGGATTAAATAGATATACACAAGTGTACTTATATAATTGTCAATTAGGTTCATTTAGGAGTTTGTATAGCCAAATGATGACATTTAGACTCCTAACTTGAATCTTGAAATGTTATTTTTGACCATTGTCATGAAATATCCGGATATTTCATGTCCCATATCTGGCTATTTCAAGGTCAAATATCTGGGTACGCACCCGATCAATATCCAGATATCTAGGCATGTCAGCAGTTACCTTAGCATATTAAAATTGGCATATTTTGAACTAGAGAGGTCCAAATTGAGTGAAACTTGAACCTTCGTAAAACTAACTAACAATCATGAAATATTCGGATATTTCATGTCCCATACTAGTTATTTCAAGGCCAAATATCTGGGTACGCCCCTGATCAATATCCAAATATCTAGGAAGGGCAACAGTGACCTTAGCATATTAAAATTGGCATGGTCCAAATTAAGTGAAAATTGAACCTCTGTAAAGATAACTCAAAGACCTTTAATTCTAAAAAATCTTTAGATTTTTAGATAAGAGACTTGTTCCCAGTTTTATTTTGAAGTTGTTGTCCTATTTTTAAAAGTTTGGTTTGAAGGAGTTGACTTGCAATGTGCATAACTTTAGATGTACAAATCTAATTGAAGCAAATAATATATCATTAAATCTTAAAGTGTAACATCCTCGTCTTGAGTTGGTTTAACTAACATACATATAATACTAAAATATGCATCAGCGGAAGACTTAACTTACTTTAGCTTACGAAAATACAAGCTAACTTTTTCCTTTTATTTCTTTAATTCGTTACACATAATATATAACATTTCATAACTTTCTTCTAATTAATTTTTCATGTGACGAAAACTAAAATCGAACAGCTTAACGATTGTAAATCGAACAAATGGGGATTTAGAAATTCCACGCTCAATGTTCCCTGATAAACAATTCATGTAGTTTATAAATCCAGAAGTCTCAGATATCCATCAAGGATCAAATATCAATCCATGGGCTCATATATAAATTGGCTTTGCGCCACTATGTCTAACAGCATGCATAACCAACACATACATATAACTGAATATTACGTAATCAAATAAACATGTATGAATACACAATTGTACATGCATCAAGACGAAAAACATGTACAAAACATATACATGCCATATACAAAATAACGGATCAGACATCATGATCCTCAAAATAAATAGAATACAAAAGCAACATAATAATCCTCCAAAATACAGTAGCATACTGCTACCCTAGACTCGGTTCACTAAGGCACTCTATCCACTGGTGTATCCCTGCCCTGTGAGGGCTCGCGGGCAATCTGTACATTTAAAATGATGTCCCAAATGGGGTGAGATAACAATCTCAATAAGCTCTAGGTTTATAGAGAATTCTCCATACTCTAGGCCCACTCCTGCATGAAAGTCAGATACAAAGTATACAGAGCATCATATAAACAAATATCATAACTGAACAAAGCATATACACATATCTTATCAGAGGTGTACGCAGTCATTCCCAAGGGAGGACCCCAAGCAGAACTCAACGCACGTGTTTCTAAGGGAGGACCCTGAGCAGAACCAAATATATATCAGAGGTATACATAGTCAGTCTAAAGGGAGAACTCCAAGCAGACATCAGTGCACATAGAATCAATGGACAAAGATCATTACAAAAATCACATCAGAACAAAACATATCACATTATCATATAGCTCTATATAAATGCATCTATACAAAGCATCAAATACAATCATACAATTCAATCATAGTCCACCAACCATGGTGGAGCACACAAGTAGAAAAAGACTCCTTAAACATATAGCTTACCTCTCGAAGCTATATGAATGGCCTACTTGAAATATGAGTTACCTAGCATCCTCTGATGTCGGATCCACAACAAGACTCTTAGGCGCACCTAGAATAGGGAATCCACACAAATATCAATAAAATGGTTTACAGGAAAGTAATTAACCAAATACACCATTTATTGATTTCATCTTTTACTTATCAATTCTTATGTCAATGATATGCCATACACACAAGTCATAACCAGTTTTCTTTTTACTTAACCATATCAGACCATGGGTGGTGGTTCTTTGTTCAATAAATCCCCACATAATTCCACACATTCACCTAGTCTTGGGATGGCCTCAAAAGGCCTTCAAAACACTCATTACTCCTCTAAGCATCTTAAAGCCTATTTTTCCAAATTTAAGACAGAGTGCCCATTACAAAGGAGCTATAAGATTTCTCTTTGTATAGTGCCTAAACCCAAGCTTAGACACCTAAATAAATTATTTTACGCATAAAAGTGTTATCACTTTGCGAAACAATATCCCTGAACGTATACATCCTTTGAAAAGGGCCAAAACTCATTTTAAGGTCATGCAAAGGAGCTACCTTATTTTCTTTTTTTCTTTCACGAAAGCGAAGGTTCATACACCTTAGAATATTATTCCACGCATAAAAGTGTGCTCGCTTTGCAAAACAGTATATCCTAGCGCATACCTCCTTTGAAAATGACCATAATCACATATAAGGCCCAAAGAAGGAACTTATTCATTTTTCTTTTTATCTAACCCAATCAAAGGTTTAAACATCTAATCATATAGTCCTTAGACCGTATAAGTTCTCAGTAGCACAAACAATCACTCTTAAAACATACTTCCTTTGTAAATAGCTAAAAGGCACATAAAGGAAATCATGTCAATTTTATGACTCCAATACTTTAGTCCATCAAATTCAAGCTTATCACACACCTCTAATCCAAAATTCATTAACATATTCAAGATTTCCAAGGTTCTACAATTCAAGCACATATGCCTCAAAGTGACATTTTCACAACCAAGGAATTCTTTAACCATTTAACTCCTACGTTCTCTTATACATACATACATATATTCCAAAGCCTACACACATGTTCAAACTTTAATTTTCATTTCAAACCCCTAATTAGACCCTAAATATAACAGCCCGTTACATACCGGTATTGTTAACATTGATTATAATATTAAGCGCAGTTACAATTACAGTAGTTTATTTAAAAATACGAGTAAACTTTTTCCTTTTCATTACGTAAGCATTTGAAATAATATAAAAAGTAATGCTACAAACTGTGATTGTAATTGAAATCTATACGTGGAATTACATTACACATGCTCAACTATAATAAAATGCTTATTTTAAGATACTAAGAGGTTCCCATAAACCCACTTAACATAAATCTCACTTTTTCCACTTTCCTAAATCTGAATACGCTT